TCATTCTGCTTCGTATTTTTTTATCTCATCGTCTGCCATCAACAAAGTTAGGTTTTTTCATTAAATTAATGGACGGATGGCTTTGTTGATAGAACTTTTTTAGGATCGTTTCTTCTCCAACTCATGTGCAAGGTTATGTTGAGTATTGTTGTTGCCACCGTCTCGGGAGAGTTGTATTTTGTTTTGCTAAATAAATTTTTTTTAGCTAAGTAGAAACAAATTTAACATATAGTAACAATATAATAACAAATTTAACTCAAGAAAGCAAGAAACCAAGATCATATAGAAAAACGTTCACGGCACATTTTTTCCGAGTAAATAACAAGTTTTCCATTTCGTCCGAACGTTTGATTTTTTTCCGAATTTGCTCAAAAATTGAATGTAAGCCTTCTAATCCTTCTTCAGACATTGCACCTAAGCAACGATGGCGTTGAAGAAATTCCGGCACATGTGCTAGCAATACATGGATCTTTGTTGAGCGGGATCCAATTTCCAATTCTTCAAGTTTTGCGAGCAATGGCTTAATAGAAGTAAGGATTTTTTTTAATATCGTCGTCTTTCATGTTTTGCTCAGTGGAGCCAATAGGATTAGAGAATGTCGAAAACTTTTCCAGGCAGTCGGATAGATCCTTATATTTTTGTGAGTTGACTAGAACCTTAAATTCCTCTCGATTTTCACATAATCTCTTCAGCTTCGGACCATTGAGATCTTCCGATTTAAACGATCGCGTGAATCCCAATTTTTGTGCTAATAATGCAAAAGCATCCCATTCAGATGGTGAAGCTTGTCGGGCTTCTTGTTCCAACTCTTTATAGATACGGTTTCCGATGCCGAGCTTTATATGGAGTGATGGAGGAACGACATGCGTCGGTTCAGTCGGCCAAACGTATTTTTGAAAAACACCTTTGCGCAATTCCGAATTATTTGAATCTATTTTGAGTAGTTCGTCAAACGTTTTTATAGATCTTTCCGGATAAATACTCCAATCCAATTTCTCTGGACACCCGTCTATTTTGCGTTGTTTTTTGGCTTTGAAAAAACACCAAACGCAAGGATAAGTTGCTGCATTTGATAGTCCATAAAGAGAAGCTAAAAAGCACAGATCGCCTCCAATGAAGACGGTGAATTTCATATCAACAAGCTCTCTATAGACTTCGTTAAATTTTTGTAGACTTTTGTTGTCGTCTCTCCCTTTCCAAACTGCTAGTATTAGGTGATTGTATCTAGATTGAGATTTGTTGCTCTTATCAGGAAACATGACGGTCAATTTTGTCGTTTCAAAACCCTTGTCTGCCATCAGCAAAATTCTCTGTGCCTCTTTGCTGGGCACACGTTTAAGACGGAAACGAAGCGCTTCTTTTATATCCTTCAATTGAACAATCCCGTTTGAAATAACATATTCAACTTTTTGATTCACTTCGGATATCACCTGTCTCATTTTATACTCACTTGCAAAATGAGCATACTTGCTGTAGAGTCGATGTGAAAAACGAGAAATTTCTGCTTTTGAAAATACAGCTAACGTTTGATGAGGTGAAACAGGAGAAGAAATGGGCAATTTGTTCCTCTTATGCCTCTTGTATTTTGCGCGGATTTGTCGAGCTCGTTGAGCGAAAAATAGCTTTTGTTTCTTCTTATCACTTTTCATTTTTCTGAGAATTTTCATCCTTTTGCTTCTTAGAGGTCGCAATATCTCTTGATTCTGATTTGCTATTTCCAAAGCTTCTCTAACATCCTTTTTGCTATCCAATTGAGCCTTTCTTGCCTTTTGAGCAGCAATTTTCGATTTTTTTGGGCGACTCATCTGAAAAAGGAGCTTAAGAAAGTGAATAAACATAAAAACGGAGAACATGAAAAACGGAAAACATAAAAGCGATTGTTGCCGACAACGAAAAGTTGCACAATTATGAAATTTGCGTACGACTCTAGAAAAGGGTGTCTTTTAGAATGCGGAAATGTGAAGGTTACGGTAGCTTTTGAACGTTTTCTTTCAAAACTTAATAACTCCACGCTGAGTTATCCAATTTTTATCTTTTTTTACTAAAATGTTCATCGCCACAAGCTTGACCCAAAACCGCCGGGGTTTTTTGATTTGTTCCGATATATTCATTTTAGAACCTTGGAAAGAAAACTTAACATAGAAAATTTGACAAAAACGCACTTTGCTCGAAATTGAGCCAGACAAAATTTCAAATAACTACGATTTTTGAATTCTCCATAATTTTTTGCATCTAGTACGCATTTTTACAGAATTTTTTGTTAAAAAACACTTTTTTGCCTTATTTCGCGCCGATGTGCACTTGCTTAAACAGCTCTTTTGGCCACACGAGATGACTACTAGACTAGACTGGACTACTTCTAAAATTTTTAATAACACACTTGTCCTACTGTTACACACAGCACTTGTAGTACTACTATAAGTATTAAAACTTCTTTCACCTTAATGATGTCCGTTTTCTCAGGTGTAACATTTGTGGTGGTGAACTGAAAGGGGATCAAATGAGTGAACTCGTTGGCGGCAGCTGCCTCGAGTGTATCGTGAGAAATATAGGTGGCCGTCGCGTTAATCCACGTCGACTTTCCCACACCAGTCTTGCCGATTACCTGAAAGCAAACTTTTTAAGAACATTAGTGGGGTTTACCAGAATGTTTATCCTCTCATAGGGAGTCAATGTGGATAAGTAGCGTTTGAGTCGTTGCTCATCAAAGGCAAGAAATTCATTTCCGTGAAAATCATTGCAGCAACGGAAAGTGAAACTCGTGACATCACAGGCACCACACCTAAATTTTTTAATCGATTGTCAGAATTTAAGCAGTTTAGCAACACTAGTTTAGCAAACATTTCATTTAACTAACTTAATCAAATATTTTTGTCTCGCAATTATCAGTGATTCTTTATAAAAATTCTCTATTCCAAATCTTAAAGCACTCACCCGCAGTAGAACTTATTCCCCAGATCATATTCGAGTTCCTTATTGCAACTCTTACAAATCCAAATTCTCGGCTCCTCCGATTGACGACAACATTCAGCATTCGGGCATGGGAGACTGGCTCTGATGAGATTGAGAGAAGGCTTTTGTGAAGGAACCGGATCGGCTGTTCTCTTTGCAAAATTCGTACTACGATAGGTTTCATAATGTGCAAGGCAGTCTGTATCTGTGTATTTTCCATTATCGAAATGACAAATCCGAGTCCCTTCTGGTAGGCCTTCTTTCAATTGGATCTCCGATTGTTCGTCTGCATTGACGGCAATATAGAGATGCTCCTTGTCGTTGAGTGATGCCCAATATTTGAATAGGTTGGTCGTGTAGAGGGCTTGACTATTCTGGTTCCAGATCTTCTTCAACGAGTAGAAAAGTACCTGAAAGTTTATCAGGTTGGCCGGAAAGTCTTGTACGCTTTTTTAAATGAATAATGAGCCAATCAATCTATGGTTTTTCTATCAGAAAGTCCTATTATTTATTTACAAATTGCCCTTTAAGAAATTCTGAAAAGCCGTTTTTACTCAAATTCAAATACCTAAAAAGCCATTTGTTGTTTTTGTTGCTGATCTCTATTAAAATTTTCTACCTTTGAAATCGTATGAGCAAACAATGGCTCAAGTAAAGTTCACAAAAAGACTTCAGTTGTGACATCTTACGTAAATTTTTGCATTTAGAATCTACGCTACATCCGAGTTATTTAAATAGAATTTGCACAAGTGGCTTCACTTGATCAAATACTACTTGTATTTGCCTATCTGTTGAGGCTTAAATGAATCGAAACTTACGACAAAACTTTTCCCATCCGACTTCAGCTTCAGATAATCCGAGTGCGACTTGACAAAAACAATCTCACATCCAGCCATTTCCTCAAAAAATTTCAATGAACCAATCATGTTCGCGAAGCGTTCGTGGAAGTTTTCGACACCCTTCACCGTAGCCCATTCATTGTATTCTTTAAGTGAAATCTCGACGATCTCTTCCCGCGCATCTTCATTGTTGCCTCGAGCTTGTGGGAGAAGAGCTTTCTAAAATAAACTAAAGACTTTCATTGATTTGAAGTTAACATACCACAGCTTTTCTCAAAGTTAATTTGTTCGTTGCACATTGCTCGTAGTAGGCCATGAACTCGTTGAGTTCCTCTTTTGAGAGCTAAATTTGATGAAAATAAAAGAAGTTCTTGAGAAAGTTGAGTCAATTAGATGAATTATTAGATGCTATTCTGATTTTTTTTATTTAAACATCAAAGTTTACCTCCCGGAGCCGACGTTCGATAAAACGACCCATTTGCTCAATCACTTCGAATTGACTCTCTGCATCAATCATTGTTATTGTCAAACGCTCAAGCTAAAAGATTTTTATTTAGTCCTGTTCCAAATAGCTAACCTGTTTTTTGGAAAGTTTTTTGAATGATGCATCCGCTTCATGAGGCATTTTCAGCTCTTTGAAGAGGCTCTTCAAATCGAGCAAAAGGTAGTTTATAGGAATCCTGAAAATGATCTTCATTATTTTGATTAGCGTCGTGTTTATTTGATGGAGTACTAAGCCTTGTACCCAAATTTATTTTCGAATTGAATAAGTCTCAAGCTACCAATACGGTTGTTTCGTTAGATAGCTCAAAGTTAGGTCTACAATCAAAATTTCAGAATAATCCGCTTAGGGGTTTTTTTGTGCTCATTTTTCAATATTAAAAAAACCAGTTTTCGGTCCCGAAGATTATTCTAAAATAATCAAAATTGTTTAAAAAACGATAAACATTTATAATGAAAGAAACAGTTCAGTATTTGGTAGTTTGAGACTCATTCATTTAGATAATGAAATGAAAGGGTAAAGACTTAGTATTAAACCTAATAGATGCGTTTTACTGTTTATTTTGTTGCCAATTCGATAATTTTCAAAAATCGCTTAAAGCAAAGGTCCAACCTTTTACCGTTGTCCGAGTGATGTGCGGCCTCTTGCAAAGTTCTCAACGTTCCACTGAGGGTTCGAGGGCTAGCAACGGTTGGATTTGGATCGTCGGTGAAAACCTAGAAGTAGATTAATTAAATTTAAATTTAGACTAATGTATAAGCACTCACTACTATTAAAAATAGCTTACCTTGACCTTGAAGCTTTCCTCGAGGCTCAAATCTCCATTACTGACTTCACCCAGCTTGAGTAGATTGACGAGATTTTGAACATTCGAGGAGATCCTTTTCTGGGTTTCTTCCAGATTTTCAGCCAACGAACAATCAAAATCGAGTGAAACGATCACATTGCATCCCCATTCAATGCCTACCACGACATGAGTGCCTTTCGAGTCGTTGAGGCTTTCAGTCAACAGACGTGACCATAATTTCTGGAATGAAGATGAATGAGTGAAATGAGTAAGTTAAACATTATGAGACGCTAAAAAAAGACACTTGGCTTTGAATAAATGAGAACAAGTTAGGAAAACATTTTAAAGAATGGCTTTTTATGGTTGATCCTATTGAAGAACCAAAAATACAGCGCGTTTCAAATTCGTAAATGCACCCTCTAAAATAGCGAATTTTGCATTTTGAACACTGCTACAACTATTAATTTTTTCCTATTAGAAAGAGCATGTCTTAAAACCTAAAAAACACGAAAAATAAGCATACTGTAAAAAGCAAAAATTTTCAAAATAGAAACTTTTTGCTAAATCAACCGTTTCAAATTCTTAAACGCGCTATGAAAATATTTTTATTTATCGACACAAATTAACAATCAAAGGTAAAAAATCAAAACTAATAATCTGTACACGCACCAGAACGATTAATTACTTGAAAAATGCGGTCTGGCACCGAATTGATGAGGTTTTGAAAAGCAAAGACGTCAAGATAGCTTCAGACCAAACGGATTGCTGTTTTAGGTACAAACATACATCTCGAAACTGACGATGATTTTTGTAGGCAGCTTGGACAAGTATTCGGCATCAATTCCCTATCGGATTGACGTCAGGAGATCGAGCGGGTCAGTCCAAAGTTGCAATGTTGTTGTTGTTCGGCCGGCCTCGGGTGTCTCCGGCTCGATAAATCGACGCGTTGCCGTGTTGAAACAAATCGGAAACTGTTGGATTTAGGAGCAAAAGCGGCAACAAGCAATTGTTCAAGATATCTATCTAGTCATCCGATTCGAAACCATCTTCAGAGCGACCGTTCCATCAGCACAAAAGGCGGTCCAAGCCATCACATCGATATGTGGGTTTTCCTTGATGGCTCGCCAAATTGTCGACTTCGAAGCGTCGATTTTTCGTTCCATTTGCACTTCATTGATCGTTTTTTCCGTGGATGTTGCTAGACAATATGGCGTCTAGCTCGCGGTGTAAGCTTTGGTTTTGGTCCTGGCTTCTGCTTTGGTGCAGAAACGAACTCGGACTTTATATAATTTCGCACGGCAGAGTCGGATCGGCCCAAATTTTTTGCGATTTTCCTTATTGAGTCGCCAATCCTCAAACCGGCATCAATCCGGCCTTTCTCATAATCCGTGAGCAGCTTGCCGTGTGCCTTTTATCTGGAAATTAACAAAAATTATAAATTTAATAAAAAAATATGCACAACAAAACGAAAAATTTCAAATAACAACAGCAAAGGCGGGTGCGTTTAAGAATTTGAAACAGTTGATTTAGCAAAAAGTATCTATTTTGAAAATTTTTACTTTTTACAGTATGCTTATTTTTCGTGGTTTTTAGGTTTTAAGACATGCTCTTTCTAGTAGGGTAAACCAAAAGTTTTCTATTTTTTTTATTAAATCTTTCAACATAAAGAAAACAACAATGAACGAACTCTAAGTTTCGGTTTCGAAATAAAGACTATTCGAATCTATGACTTGAAACCATCTATCGGCAAGTTGGTCGATCCCGCGGCGGTACCACTCCTTGTTCTTAGAGGCGAAAAACTCGCGGTACCCTTTTTCGACTTCGACCAGATTGTTGAAGGCTCGTTCGCCAAGGAAGTGTGCCATGGAGCGGAAAAGATGATAATCGGATGGTGCAAGGTCCGGACTGTGGAAAAAGTTCAATTAAGTCGAGATTTTTGATCTTTTCCTTGGTTTGTCTGGCGGTGTGAGGTTTTGCATTGTCCTGCTGAAGGACTATGCGCTTTCGACTGACCAAAGCGGGATATTTTTCACTAAGCGCCGCATACATCCGGTCAAGTTGGGCACAGTAGAGGTCTGCGTCGATGGTCCGACCATTTGGAGCCAGCTCAAAGTGAATAATGCCTTCGAAATTCCACCAAACACACAATAATGCCTTCCTTGAGAATCGATCACGTTTTACTACCGGTTCCGCTACTTGCTCGGGATTCAACCACTGACTTTGCTTGTCCGGACTACTAAAATAGACCCACTTTTCATCACCGTCACAATTCGGTGAATAAAGCGGTCATCGTGCAGATTTTCCAGCAGTTTTCGGCAAGTGTCAGATTTTGAGCTTGATTTTCCGTTAAATCGTGTGGCACTTCTCGGCAGCCTTTCCAAGGGCGTGAAGGTGCCGGATAACTGATGTTTGAGGAATATCCAGTTCAGCGGAGAGCCTGCGAGTGCTGGTTGATGGATTGGCTTCAACAGCGTTGCGTAGAGCTTCAGAATCCACAGTAGTTGGCCGACCCAAACGTGGCTGATCTTCGAGACCAAGTTCGCCGTTCTTAAATTTTCGATACCAATATTGCGCAGTATTGTTGGAGATCATTCCTTCACCTTCCACTTGGCATATTTTTTGGCCGCTTCAGTTGCATTGAACCCTTGTTTCCAATAATGGCGCAGAAGCATCCGAATTTCGAATTTTTCCATCTCTTCCCTACAAAGTAAAAAAGTAAAAATAAATAGTTAAACACACGATAACTTAGTGAAATATGAAAGAGCAAATCAAATGCTACAAAATAAATATGGCACGTATATAAAACGAATTTATTAGCTTTAAAAAATTGTTCAAACTTAAAGAGAAAAAAATAGAAAACTTTTGGTTCACCCTAATAATAGAAAAAGATTAATCGTTGTAGCGGTGTTCAAAATGCAAAATTCGCTATTTTAGAGGGTGCGTTTAAGAATTTGAAACGCACTGTAGTTCTCTATTTAATTGAATAAAACAGTTGTTTCTGCGTTGAAACGAAATACATCTTCTTTATCCTTATTGTTTTTCTATTGGGTGAATGCATATAAAATGGCTAATCCATGTAAATTTCTCCACCTGCATATCTAATTTTGGTTAGAATGAAAATTTATAATTTTGAACTTTATTAGCTTTATTAGGAAAAATTTAGCGATTTCATATGCATTAACCCAAAAGTCTCGCTGATCACCAACCGGTTCAGCAATTTTCATTTTCTCAATCGCAGACATTGCACGCTCGACGATCACGTAATTCAAATGCTTGGCATTACAGGGATTTTCTTCTAGAAATTTTAATGAACCGGCTACCTAAAACAATAGTTTGAAAGAAATTTTTCAAATTTAAACTTACATTGACAAGGCCTGAAAGCACACTCAAAAGTGGCTCGTCTTCGATGCGCAGAGTCGAGAGTCGATCCGAGAAACATTTGATTTCTTTTGACTCAAACTCGATTTCATCAAATTTTTCGATAGTCAGCTCATCGGATTGAATAATTCTAAAAATAATTGGCTATTATTTACGGAAAATACAAACCCATTAAAAAGAGTCTCTTCGAGAAAAGCTTCATTTCGGGCATCGTAAAGCGCTCCGAGCTTGGCCACTCGTCCAAATGATGGTCTTTTGATCAACGTTGACTCCAAATTGAGCATATCTATTAAAATATTTCTATAAAGAAACAAAGAATTTAAATAACGAAATATAAAGAAACTAAATAACAAAATATGGGGAAACTTATTTTACGAAGCAAACAAAGAACCTTAAAATAACAGTAGGTGAGAGGTTTATTGATAAAACTATGCTAAGAAAGAAAAAATCTATCATCAATAAACGGCAAAATTGTGAAATATTTGCGTGAAGGAAAAGAAAATGCTGATCTCACAACAATTTTAAATCAGAGATACACGGAAAAGGCCAGTAAATAGAGATTGCGAGTACTCAAAGACGTTTTTCCAGATTTTTTTCGGCTAATTCTAATGTTCAATCAGATTCTAGGAAACTTCATGTAAACAAGATTTTTCAAAAAGATTAGTTTTCAAAATGTCTTGCATCAGAAATTTATGAGTAAAACGGTTGGTGGTGTCCTTGACAAGCGGAGATTTCCGTGTTGCAAGCGAAAGAACATAGAACACAAAAAAAAACGCTTCCCATTGATAAGCTTTCGCTTGCAACACGAAAATCTCCGCTTGTCAAGGACACCACCAACCGTTTTACTCATAAATTTCTGATGTAAGACATTTTGAAAACTAATCTTTTTGAAAAATCTTGTTTACATGAAGTTTACTAGAATCTGATTGAACATTAGGGGATTTGAACATTTTAAGTGAGTACAGGATAGGGGGGTAGGGGACAGAACAGTCGGACTTCTGTCCGACTTTTCTGTTCCCTATTCCTGACTGCAGCCCCCCCCCCATGTGCCAACCATGTGTGTTTCTTTTTCTCACATCAGTTCCACTCAAATTGGTCATTTTACTTTCCAAAATTTCTCTTACTTTCATTTGAAAGGAAATGCAACGAATCGGACCGATTTTTCTGCTAGCATTTTTGACTATTGGTAGGTTAATATCTAATTTGAAAAAATAAAATGTTAAATCTCATAAATTTAACCTCACAAGTTTAGCCTGTACTTCTAATTATCCAAACGTTGAGTGTCTTTTCAAGAAATATGTAAACGATGGGACATGTTTGATGACGCTTAATGTTGAAGAGATGTGCAGGTAAAAGTAATCAAATAATTGAACTATAAAGTCACAAATTTCTATTCGATTAAGTTTAAAAGAAATTTCTCAAAAATTATTTCCAGAGAAGCCGAAGAAAAATCAAAATTGTCTTTCGAAGATGCTCGAATTGCTGGCGAGCGAGTCTGGGATATGCTCTGTGAAGATCAGGACAGGACATCGGGTAGTTGAAGCATGAAATTCAAAAGTTATCTCTTGTGATTAATAGCAAATCAACCACCAAACGAGTCTCGTTCAGTGAAATCTTTTTATAGAATCGCTTAAGTAAAGATAATAATAAAGATACATTATTGTTATATAAGATAAGGAACAAGATGCAAGATAAGCCGTAAACTCTCCACACTCAAGTTGGCTTTGATTTGTTAACTCAAAGCAAACAAAACGAAAAATACTCTATTATTTTAACACTGGGATTTTTTAAACAAGACTGAAATATTTTAGTGCACAAGGCACTCGAATGTACTCAAGATGAGAGCAACGAGGAGGCCGTTGTGCAAAAGTGTGGTGATGTTGATCTCGAGAGTACGGATTGCAGGTCAATTTTATGGAAATTTTCATATGTCGTAGCCGATTTTGAGCCCTTTTTAGGCGCGCTCGTCAGTGAAAAGAAATTGCTGCATGCAAAAGCAGAATATTAAACCATTTTGTAGAGAATCAAATGCTGCGTCGAATGGTACTAAATTCATGGACACAAAAATGAAGGGCGCTAGAGCCTTCATTCCAAATCGGCGGCGGCCCCCGTAGCTGATTTGAAATGAGTGGATATGCGATTGTCTGGTTACTTCAAAAGTACAGGGTGATCAGAAATAAACCGGACAAACCTTTTTGATCCGATCTTCAAATGCAGAGAGACTAAATTAAAATATTTTTTTAAATCGTTCATTATACACTCTTAGTGATAGATTTTGGTCCAAGGCCGTTTCTGTAAGTTCTAGGAGTTGAAAGAAGCAGCTGAGCCCTCTGGGGCCGCTGCTCTTTTTGCACAAACGTTCTCAGCGCATCGATTTTGAATAAAATAACATATTTTTGACTCTAAATAGCCAAGAAGATTTGTGCAAAAATGTAATCCGATTTTTGATCCGATCGGGTTATTTCTGGTCACCTATTGTACCATTCGACAGTCAAATCGACTAAATCAATAATTAAATCAATAATCGTAAAACAATATTTAGACAAGAAAAAAAATATATAAATAAAAATAATCAGAAGAACCACTTTTTAAAGCCTCAAGCTTGAGAGCTCATAAATTTTTTTCTTATGCACGAAATGTTATGAGTTTTGTTATACGATTATTAAGTCGACTATTCTGCGTCGAATGATACTCCACACGTCTCAAACAGACCACTCTATACCCACTGATTCCAAATCGGATGCGACACAGACTGTATTCTCTCCTACGCTAGACTATTAGCGGCGTATTATTAGGGAAAATGTTTCATTATTTACCATAAAGTGCTAGACTTAAATTTTACAATCGTACAATTGAGTTATCTCAGAAAAGTTCACTAACTTCAGTGCCTTTGCTGAAACATTCGGTTGTGAGGTGAGAGAATGGAGTATGTTGTGTGGAAATGCTCGAGTGGCAACTTTTTTGACTGAGGTATTTATTATTTTTGCAAACAATGAACTTTTCTTTGTTTACCTTAAAGTTCTTATTTATTTGTTCTCGAAACTCTCTCCATTTAGGCCTACATTAACAACGACGATCACAAAAAGATTTTCCGATGTCGACACGAGATCGCCCAGGCAGCCGGTTTCAAAATTTGGTGAAATGGAGTTACAAATATTCTTGTTTTTGGCTTCAGATCAAGTATTTTGCTTACCATATAAAGTTTAGTTAAATAAATCTGTTTATATAGTATAAATCTATGCCGAATTGCATTACAAATGGGTTAGAGTGTTGTTAGTAAGTTTATAAAGTTTATTTTTCGATGTAATCTTTGTGAATTTGTCTCTCAGTCAGTGTTTGCAGTCACCTTTTCTTTCAAAATGTTGCGTTTTAATACCAAAACGTGGATAAAACAAAAATCTGATGTGAATTCCAGGGTGTGTCAAAATTATCCGAACAACTTTTTGGAAAAGTAGTTGTCGCACGCTTAATTTATTTCAAAATCTCAAGTGTTATGTAGAGAATTGTAGCCTTTAATCTTGGCTACATTTCTCTACTAAAAACTTCCCCAATCGGATTTATGCAACTAATTTAACAAGTTCTTGAATGACGCCGGCAGGAACAAAGATCAAAGCTGTCTTTCCATCGAATTTCGATACTGCCAAAGACCAAAGACTGAAGCTGGGTGAAGTCTTATGTGGATCGAATACTGCATAAACTCGATCATTCTGCTTGTTTAGCACTTGTTGGAACTGTCCAACAAGAGCTAAACACCTTCTCATCGGTGAAAAGAATGCGTCGATGAGCTTGTCCAGTGAACCGAGCCAGAAGTTGAACGCTAAACGGAAGCATTCACAGCTTTGTGTCCCAAGCCTGGCTACCCTTGCCCCTACGCGGTATCTTGAATTCTTAAAAATGTGTTGTCTAGATGCTAACAAAATTGTTGATCATCATGCCCAACAGGACTTATTTTTCTTTGCTTGGAATCGGGATGAATAATTTTTTCGGCACCAAAATTCAATCCGCTTTTCAGTCTTCTCGGAATCCCGTTCTTCCCGTGGTTTAGAAAGAAAAAAGTAAATCGTTTTGCGTGAATCCGAAGAAGTCGAAAATCGGGGCGCTGTCGTCGATGTCGGTGTCCACGTAGACGAAACCTATCTGAATTTTTGGAAAATGAAAATAGATTTACATTTTACTGTCTTGATTCTGTTTCTAACCGATTCGTTTTCCTCCGTTAACGGGCCGGCTAAAAATCGTAGCCTATTCTCACTAAAAGAAGAGGAAGGGCTTGCGGTCTATGCCGTCCGATCTGCCAAGTTAAGCAACGTCGGCGCGGGATAGTCGTGGGTTCGAATCTTGTGGGTTCCCCTCCGAGCGCCCCAGCCCGGCCATCGGAGTATCATCGGCTACGACAACTACACTTCTGCCTCAGTACCCCGCACGGCCTCACTGCTCTCTTCCGGCATCGAGAGATCAAGCAAAGGCCGAGAGGCGATCCAATCTCGGGACATCAGGATGCCATATGGACAACGGACCAAGGAACGGAACACAACGACAAAGCCCAAGCCTTCGACTCTGCACTTTCAACGCCAGGACAGCCGCCTCGCAAGCCGACAAGACCACACTCCATGAGATGAGCAAGAAGATCAAATTCGACATCATCGCCTTCCAAGAAACAAAGGCCAAAGATGACTATACGAAGACACAGGCGAATGGCGACCTGCTCATACTCGACCACAAAGTCACCAACAAGAACATTGGAGGAGTAGGCTTCCTGGTCAACAAGGACATCGTGCCACTCGTCGATAGCCATGAGATCATCTCTCCACGACTCGCAGTCCTTCACCTCAAGCCACCAAGAAACCGCGACATCGCCGTCTACAGCTGCTACGCCCCAACCTCCGCCGCCGAGAAAGACGAACGAGAAGCCTTCTACGAAGAACTCGAAGCAACACTCAAGAAAGACAGGAGCTTCTACAAGTTCGTGCTCGGAGACTTCAACGCGATCATCGGGAACAGCGGCACCGGCAGGGTCGGAAAGTTCGGACTCGGCACACGCAACGACAACGGCGACCGTCTGGAAGAGCTACTATGGTCAGCAAAACTCACTCACGGGAACTCTCAGTTCAAGAAGAAGACCTCAAGACGATGGACCTGGTGCTCACCCAACGGTCAGACGAAGTGCGAGATAGACCACATCCTCGCCAACAGGAAATGGACGCTTCTAGACGTCGGCGTGGTGCCCTCCTTCGTCACCGGCTCAGACCATCGGCTCGTACGAGCAAAAGTGAAACTGTGCGAACAAATGGCAAAGAAGATCCTCCACTGACCACCAAAGGAGAAAAAGCTCGCCCACGACTTCTCGATACTACCACAACTCCTCAGGGATAGGGATTGGAAACAATCGGGAGACCACAACGAGGACTACGACACCCTGGTCAAGAACCTCAAGGAATGCGAGAAGAAGTGCAGTGCGCCACAGAACAAAGATCAGAGGATCTCAGACGCGACCAAGGAGCTGTTCAAGATGAGGATCCACATAAAGAACAACTCCAACTCCACAGAGCTGGAACGAAGAGCAGCTGACAAAGCATGCCGCAACCACCTCAAGATGGACCTCAGCAACCACCGCAAGCGAAAGCTTCTGAAAGCAGCCGAAGCAAGACAAAGCATCAAGAGGTGCAGACGAGGACTCATCCAAGAGAGACAAGTCTTCACAGCCCTAAAGGACAACAACGGCACAAGAACCAACTCAAGGGCGGCGATGGAGAAGATTGTCCAAGACTTCTACACCGACCTCTACTCGTCGACAGGCACCCACCCACCACCGCAAGTGCCAGCTGCCACAGAAGAAATACCGACAGTCCTCCCAGCCGAAATCAGAGCAGCCATCGCCACCACCAAGAATGGAACAGCACCAGGGCCAGACAACATCAAGATAGAGCTACTCAAGGCTGGAGGAGAAGACATACACAAGCTGCTGGCCGAACGCTTCACCACCTACCTCCACAACCAGAGGATGCCTAACCACTGGCGAGAAGCAAGGACCGTCCTGCTCTACAAGAAAGGAGACAAAGAAGACATCGGAAACTACAGGCCAATATCTCTGCTATCAGTCCTGTACAAGCTCTACACGAAGATCCTCCAACAACGAATAGAGCGGCAACTCGATGACTACCAGCCAGTGGAGCAGGCCGGCTTCCGCAAGAACTTCTCGGTGATCGACCACATGCAAGCCGTCACCCAACTGATCGAAAGAACACGAGAATACCGAATGCCACTCATCCTGGTATTCGTCGACTACAAGAAGGCATTCGACTCAGTGGAACACGGCGCAGTGACACAAGCCCTCCTCGACGCAGGGATTGACCTCGGATACATCCACGCCATCCAAGACTGCTACACGGAGGCTACCACCACCATCAAGATGTTCGAGAGGGAAGTCCACATCCCGATCAAGCGCGGGGTCCGCCAAGGAGACACCATCTCGCCCAAGCTCTTCACCACGGTTCTCCAGTATGCCATGAAAGACCTCGAGTGGGAAGACTACGGCATCCCGGTAGATGGCAGGAACCTCACCAACCTACGCTTCGCAGACGACATCGTGCTCTGCGCCAAGACACCAGAAGAAGCCCAACGGATGCTAGAAGACCTCGACCAAGTCAGCAAGAAGATTGGCCTCGAAATGAACAAGAAAAAGACTCAGAGCATGAGGAACGCATGGTGCCCACCTGGAGAGATCAAGCTGGAAGGCCAACCACTAGAAGAAGTCACCTCCTACACCTACCTCGGAAGAAGCATCAACATGGAGGGAGACCTAAGACCAGAAGTCGCCAGAAGAAGACGAGCGGCCTGGACAGCACTAGGAAGCATCAAAGAAGTCACAAAGATACTCAAGAATCACCAGAGAACTCGGGCACACCTAAGAAGTACGGATATGCGCCAGCTCTCGGGACTCAGAGATCCAGTGGAAGTGATCGAGAGAAAAAGACTCAGATGGGCCGGCCACGTGGCCAGAAGAACAGATGACAGATGGACGATACGGATCACAGAGTGGCTACCACGAGACCAGAAGAGACCCATCGGAAGACCAGCAACGAGGTGGAGCACAAGAGTGACAGAGACGGTCAGAGAAAGGATGGCTAGAGTGCAACCACCACCAGCACAAGCAAGTCGAAGACTTCGAACCAGGAACAACCAAGATAGGAAACACTGGATGACAATCGCAAGGGATAGAGAAATGTGGAAGCAGGTTGTGATCTGCGCAAATAGAAACACCTAAGTGCGAAGACAGATCAAGAAAAAAAAGAAAGAAAAAAAAAAAAAATTCTCACTAAAATTTTTTTTTTCGAGAAAATTCATTTATTTTGTGTTTATTTGTCAGATTTATTGCTAGAAATGATAAAATTGAATTGGTAGGATTATTTTAAATCCCGAAAATCCTTGAACTTTCTTTAGAGATCGGCAGACACCTAAATTAACTCATAAATAACAAATAAAATTAACAAAACAAACAGAAAAACCATCAAATATGTACAAAGGAATAATTTAAACTTTTAATATAGCCTCTTAATGTTTTTGGTGGTAAAGTTTGTGTTATTTTCCGTCCACTAAATGTTTCTCCCTTTTCCGGCAATTTTGCCACCAAGTGCCGGATGACAAAGGTGACAATGTTGAAGAAATCAAATTCCAGCTGTTTCGAAGTCTACTAGAAGATACCTGGGCTTTGAGATCACTTCCTCCTCATCAGATATGGTTTAAACAGAAATTAAACTTCTATGACACATGTAAAAGCACCAAAAAAACCAAAAGAAAATACAAAATCCAGAACAAACGCCCTAAAAGGTTGATCACGCAAAATGTGAAAAAACTCTATTTTGTGCTCAAATTAATTTTGTCAATTTCGTTGCCAATCTCTAAAGAAAGTTCAAGGATTTTCGGGATTTAAAATAATCCTACCAATTCAATTTTATCATTTCTAGCAATAAATCTAACAAATAAACACAAAATAAATGAATTTTCTCGAAAAATTTTTTTAGTGAGAATAGGCCACAATTATTACTCCCCCCTCCCCTTTTTTTAGATAACCAGTTTGGCACCGAATCAGTCACTGATTGAAACAAATTTAAATAAACTAGAAGGGCTTGCTTAAGTTTATTTAATCGGTAAATTGAAAAAAGGAAAAATTGAAAATCGGTAAATTGAAAAGAGGAAAAATTGAAAAGAGGTAAATTGAAAAGAGGATTGAGCAAAAAGAGGAATTTATATGCTGCTTTGCACAAAAAAACAAATATTCAAATTTTAGGCTAACTTAGAAAGAGACACAGCAAGATGATAAGTTGTCAAAGCAATACGATCAAAGCAACAATAAAGAACCGTAATTGGCTTCTAATGGAGTATTTATTTCTATTGAGCAAGTACATGAAAAATCTCAAAATACTTTATATACAAAATTAAAGACGTTTCGCGAAGGGGTTGAAAACGTTGAAAAGAAAGTTGAGGAATCGATTTTTTTGACGGCTTGGATTGTAGACGCTTGGCGGTTCGATGTCTCCACCCTTCGCCACCTGGAAAAATGGTGTTAACAAATATTCTGTGCTTTTATTAGATCACGATATAAATTCAGTAAGATGCATAGTTCGGACTCGTAGTTGTAATTTGAAGGAAAAAGTGCAAAAAAACAAACCCATTGTTTCACTCCTTCCAACGCTTGATGAATATCCTTTCCATAGTGCGTCAATTGTTTCAACGCTTCCGCCGTTTTGATCACATCATCCGATGAGATCTCCTTCCAATTCCCCAAATCATTGTTCATGTGCTGTTCGAGGATGGCCACCTCTCCTTTGTGAAACTCGAGCATTTTGGCGAGACTCTCATAGCGTGGACCGAGTCGGGCACCCTAAAAGTGAGGGATTTGCTACCAAACTTTATAGCAAGTGGTTGGTAGATAGTTTGCTTATCATGTTGTTTAGTTCAAAACTTCGTAGAGTTTCTTATTTTAGAAACTTTTTCGGCCTGTTAAACTGAACAATACGCTAAACAAGCTACCTTATTTGACTTAATTGTTGGTGATGTTACTTGATTCACATGTTGCTTCTTTACACAATTCAGGAATATCTCAAATCATGAGTGATTTTACAAACCTGTTTCTCTTCAAGATCCATGAGAATCAACAGATACTGTTCGGTGATATCATTGTAGGCGGTGATCGAGTTTTCTTTCAGGAAAACACCAAATTGAGCGGCCGCCTTTTGAATCGATCGCATCTCTTGCTCCAACTCATCTTTTAACAAAGACTTTTGTTGAATCAGAATTTGACAACGTTCACGGTCATCTAAAATTTGTTAATTAAAAAAATTGAGTTCAATTAGTATTTTCTGATTATCCTCGATCTCGATCGTTTTGTTGAACTTCGTGTACCATTACTATGCTACAATGATGAAAAACTATCGTTTAAGAATTGAATTGAATCACTAGCTTTTTTTTGTTCTTTGCCAGCTGAGAGGCTTGTTGGAATTCTTTTCAATCAATCACCAACTTTTTGCTTCTTCCAATCGCTTCTGAACACATTCATCGATCTCTTCTCGATCCTCGTAGACTTTGGCATAAGAACGATCGCTCATCGATTGGGGAAAATCCGGTCCACATTCCTTGCATGTCCATTTACCGTCAACCTAAATATAAAAGTTTTGAAGCTTGAAGTTTTGGTTCAATAGAGATATTTTCACAATAGTTATGCCTATCGAACAGATATCAGCTCTATTTTCATTTTGTACAGAGTTGGGACCCTCTTGGCTACGAGTCGGAGTCTTTAAGCCAGTTTGTCAAGACCTTAATTAAGAAATACTCAAGAAATAAACTTGGTAACCTTAATAGTTACAATAAACCTTTCCAGCGTGTCCACCGATCGTCATCACCAACGGCTTTCTTTCGGCTAGACTCGGATCCGCTTCGATCAACTTGTCCCTCTCGACCCCAGTGTACTCCACATAAGTTGTACAATTCCTGCAAACCATCGTATCCACATAAGTCATCTTGAAGCGATAGAATTGAACCTGAAAAGTATAGTTTCAAATTGTTCACTTACTAACCATACCTTTACTTTCAACACTTTCAACATTTCGCTCTCCTTTCCCCGATTTTCGTCAGCTCTCTTTTTTTGAGCCTCGATCTCGCTAATTGTTTCACTAACCTACAAAATATTTTCTTAACATTTTTTGATTTAAATACCTTTGTTCCAATCATTGTTAATGGTGGTGCCAATTCCTTGACGATTCTTCTCGCGTAATTAAGATGAAGGGTGTCCTCGACTCGATGTGGCGGTGTTTGTAGGGCTTGATCGAGCATCTTCTTCGTTTCATTTGCCGACACTTTGTAGCTCCGAGCATACAAATCGAGAAGGGCTTGATCCTTTTCGGGTTCTTCCTAAATTTCTGACTTGAATTGTTCAGTTATTAGAGTAATGTCAGTTAAATATTCACTACTCTGTCAACTGTAGTCATCTTATGAGTCATAAAACTTTAAATAACTAGGGAAAGGCACGAACTTTTGTCTGGACATCTAGTGCACCTTCTAGAATCGGGTATGCGGCATTCCAATTTGAAATCAAAACCAGCCAAATGACTTTCAAGGCGTGTAAAACTTCAATCGAAAATTTGGAGTCAAAACGGATGCTTTAAACGGCTCCTTTCTAGCGGAGAAACGGTAAGTTGGTGGGCTAACGCATTAGACATAACGCATTAGACATAACGCATTAGAGTTCCGCCCAAATCACCAGGCTTCGGTCCTTGATGCAGCCTTTTGTTTTTGTTTTTCTTTTGGAGCAACTTTTGGAGCAAAATGTGTTTTTCAAGCCGTTTATGTTAAATTTGAATTTCTGTCACAAATTTTAAAGGTTAATTTTACCTTATTTTTAAATGTTAATTTTCGCGCAACGTCGCATTCCAATTGATGTCGCCACCATTTGGAGGTAGTCGATGGGAGCGCCGCGTCGTCGTTTTTTTTTTGTTTTGAATGGAAACAACGAAAGCAAGGCTCCTTTTCTGGGACGTTACAAAACTGCTATAGCTGCATATAGTGAAGTTTTGAAGCAAAAAAGTGGGCCTCCAAGTAAACTAGTACCCCGAACCTTGATCCTCAGGGTAGAAGCCTAATGCGTTATCCAGAGGCCACCAACTTACCTTTTGTCGGCTAGAAAGGAACCTTTTAACGCCTTCTGACGCCAAATTTTCAAACGAAGTTTTACACGCCTTGAAAGTCATTTGGCCGATTTTGATATCAATACTCATACCCCATACCTCATACTAGGAGTCCAGACAGAAGCTCCCCTTGAGTGCGTGCCTTTCCCTAGTGACAAGTAATTTAAATTAAACGTGATATTACCATTTTGTGCAAATAAGCCAAATATCGATAGGCGATGTTGTCAAAAACGAAGAGATTCTTGTCGTTTAGCACAATTTCGATTCCTTGTCTTTTTTTGATCTCGTTGACTAGTGTTTGTAGCGGGACGATTGTCTCTGATACCTAAAAATAATGCAATTAAAGATTTACAGTTTGTTTTGAAACAAACCTTATATCCCACACCGCTAGCTTTTGTAAAACAAAAGGCAATGTTATGGATGGCTGAACGATGGAATTGCATAATCAGCTCCTAAAACTATCTAGTTTAAGTCAATTCATTACTTCAAACCTTGAAGCAGAACTCGAAAGGTGGATCGAGTCGTGCTTCATTTGGGTCCAATAAGAAGCAAATCAAATTGATTTTGCCCAAATTGCCCATAAAGTTCACGATGTTTTGCATGTTTTCCTTGTCCTTTTCGATTCCCTGACAATCGCCGACGCCCGGTGTGTCGACAATGCAGTAAAGCCGGCGTTGATCCTGGAAATTGAAAAATGAACGCAACGATGGAAACACTAACATTGTTTTTGAAATAATGAGCCCGGGGATGTTGCGTGCATGACATCTTCTCTCTGTAAACTTCGTTCTTGTCATCGCCAATCTTGATCTGAAAGCTTACGGTTTGCTAAAATGCAATTAAGAATCAATTTTCTCGCTTTTCCGTTTTTCCATATCTCACTTGCTTAAACAACTCTTTTGACCACACGAGATGACTACTAGACTAGACTAGACTACTAAAATTTTTAATAGCTTTTGTACTACTGTTACACACAGCACTTGTAGTACTACTATAAGTATTAAAAATTATTTTACCTTAATGATGTCCGTTTTTTCAGGTGTAACATTTGTGGTGGTGAACTGAAAGGGGATCAAATGAGTGAACTCGTTGGCGGCAGCTGCCTCGAGTGTATCGTAAGAAATATAAGTGGCCGTCGCGTTAATCCACGTCGACTTTCCCACACCAGTCTTGCCGATTACCTGAAAGCAAACTTTTTAAGAACATTAGTGGGGTTTACTAGAATGTTGATCCTCTCATAGGGAGTCAATGTGGATAGGTAGCGTTTGAGTCGTTGCTCATCAAAGGCAAGAAATTCACTTCCGTGAAAATCATTGCAGCAACGGAAAGTGAAACTCGTGACATCACAGGCACCACACCTAAATTTTTTTAATCGATTGTCAAAATTTAAGCACATAGCAACACTAGTTTAGCAAACATTTCATTTAACTAACTTAATCAAATATTTTTGTCTCGCAAGTATCAGTGATTCTTTGTAAAAATTCTCTATTCCAAATCTTAAAGCACTCACCCGCAGTAGAACTTATTTCCCAGATCATATTCGAGCTCCTTATTGCAACTCTCACAAATCCAAATTCTCGGCTCTTCCGATTGACGACAACATTCAGCATTCGGGCATGGGAGACTGGCTCTGATGAGATTGAGAGAAGGCTTTTGTGAAGGAACCGGATCGGCTGTTCTCTTTGCAAAATTCGTACTACGATAGGTTTCATAATCAGCAAGGCAGTCTGTGGTAATGTATTTTCCATTATCGAAATGACAAATCCGAGTCCCTTCTGGTAGGCCTTCTTTCAATTGGATCTCCGATTGTTCGTCTGCATTGACGGCAATATAGAGATGCTCCTTGTCGTTGAATGATGCCCAATATTTGAATAGGTTGGTTGTGTCCAGGGCTTGACTGTTCTGGTTCCAGATCTTCTTCAGCGAGTAGAAGAGTACCTGAAAGTTTATCAGGTTGGCCGGAAAGTCTTGTACGCTTTTTTAAAGGTTAATTTTTGAAACGAATAATGAACTAATCAATCTATGGTTTTTTTATCAGAAAGTCCAATTATTTATTTACAAATTGTCTCTTAAGAAATTCTGAAAAGTCGTTTGTATTGAAATTCAAATACCTAAAAATCCATTTATTGTTTTTGTTCCTGATCTCTATTAAAATTTTCTACCTTTGAAATCGTATGAGCAAACAATGGCTCAAGTAAAGTTCAGAAAAAGACTTCAGTTGTGGCATTTTACGTAAAGTTTTGCATTTAGAATCTAGGCTACATCCGAGTTATTCAAATAGAATTTGCACAAGTGGCTTCACTTGATCAAATACTACTTGTATTTGCCTATCTGTTGAGGCTTAAATGAATCGCGACTTACAAAAAAAATTTTCCCATTCGACTTCAGCTTCAGATAATCCGAGTGCGACTTGACGAAAACAATCTCACATCCAGCCATTTCTTCAAAAAATTTCAATGAACCAATCATGTTCGCGAAGCGTTCGAGGAACTTTTCGACACCCTTCACCGTAGCCCATTCATTGTATTCTTTAAGTGAAATCTCGACGATCTCTTCCCGCGCATCTTCATTGTTGCCTCGAGCTTGTGGGAGAAGAGCTTTCTAAAATAAACTGAAGACTTTCATTAATTTGAAGTTAACATACCACAGCTTTTCTCAAAGTTAATTTGTACGTTTCACATTGCTCGTAGTAGGCCATGAACTCGTTGAGTTTCTCTTTTGAGAGCTAAATTTGATGAAAATAAAAGAAGTTCTTGAAAAAATTGAGTCGATTAGATGCTATTCTGATTTTTTTTATTTAAACATCAAAGTTTACCTCCCGGAGCCGACGTGCGATCAAACGATCCATTTGCTTAATCAGTTCGAATTGACTCTCTGCATCAATCATTGTTGTTGTCAAACGTTCAAGCTAAAAGATTTCTATTTAGTCTTGTTCCAAATAGGTAACCTGTTTTTTGGAAAGTTTTTTGAACGATGCATCCGCTTCATGAGGCATTTTCAGCTCTTTGAAGAGGCTCTTCAAATCAAGCAAAAGGTAGTTTATGGGAATCCTGAAAATGATCTTCATTATTTTGATTCGCATCGTGTTTATTTGATTGAGTACTAAGCCTTGCACCCAAATTTATTTTCGAATCGAATAAGTCTCAAGCTACCAATACGGTTTTTTTCATTAGATAGCTCAATCATTTCTGTTGCAAATGACTTGCAAATGACTAAAAAGCTTTATTTTGAAAGTTTTTCATTAGCAAGAAGCTAAGTGTACAAAAACCACAAGGTGCGATGATGCGATTTCGACCGTTTCTTGCAAAGAAACTTATCTTGATGGCAAAATAAAAAATATAGCACACAAAAAGTTAGGTCTACAACCAAAATTTCAGAATAATCCGTTTAGGGCTTTTTTATGTGCTCATTTTTCAATATTAAAAAACCAGTTTTCGGTCACGCAGCTTATTCTAAAATAATCAAAATAGTTTAAAAACGACAAAAAGTAAACGATAAACATTTATAATGAAAGAAACCGTTTAGGATTTGGTGGTTTGAGACTCATTCATTTAGATAATGAAATGAAAGGGTAAAGACTTAGTACTCAACCTAATAGATGTGTTTTAGTGTTTATTTTGTTGTTTTCGTAATTTTCAAAAATCGCTTAAAGCAAAGGTCCAACCTTTTACCGTTGTCCGAGTGATGTGCGGCCTCTTGCAAAGTTCTCAACGTTCCACTGAGGGTTCGAGGGCTAGCAACGGTTGGATTTGGATCGTCGGTGAAAACCTAGAGGTAGATTAATTAAATTTAAATTTAGACTAATGTATAAGCACTCACTACGATTAAAAATAGCTTACCTTAACCTTGAAGTTTTCCTCGAGGCTCAAATCTCCATTACTGAAATCACACAGCTTGAGTAAATTGACGAGCTTTTGAACATTCGAGGAGATCCTTTGCTGGGTTTCTTCCAGTTTTTCAGCCAACGAACAATCAAAATCGAGTGAAACGATCACATTGCATCCCCATTCAATGCCTACCACAACATGAGTGCCGTTCGAGTCGTTGAGGCTTTCAGTCAACAGACTTGACCATAACTTCTGGAATGAAGATGAATGAGCGAAATGAGTAAGTTAAATATTATGAGACGCTAAAAAAGACACTTGGCTTTGAATAAATGAGAACAAGTCAGGAAAACATTTTAAAGAATGGCTTTTTAGGGTTGACCCTATTGAAGAACCAAAGATAGCCCCTATTTAATTGAAGAAAAGAGTTGTTTCTACGTTAAAATGACATCCATCTTATTTATCTTTATTGTTTTCCTATTGGGTGAATGCATATAAAATGGCTAATCCATGTAAATTTCTCCACCAACTATCTAATTTCTATTTGGTTAGAATGAAAAGTTATAATCTTAAGCTTTATTAGCTTTATTAGGAAAAATTTAGCGATTTCATTTGTCCCAAAAGCCTCGCTGATCACCAACCGGTTCAGCAATTTTCATCTTCTCAATCGCCGACATTGCACGCTCGACGATCACATAATTCAAATGATTGGCTTTACAAGGCTTTTCCTCTAGGAATTTTGATGAACCGGTTACCTAAAACAATAGTTTGAAAGAAATTTCTCAAATTTAAACTTACATTGACAAGTCCTGAAAGCACACTCAAAAGTGGCTCGTCTTCGATGCCCAGGGTCGAAAGTCGATCCGAGAAACATTTGATTTCTTTTGACTCAAACTCGATTTCATCAAATTTTTCGATAATCAGCTCATCGGATTGAATAATTCTAAAAATAATTGGCTATTATTTACGGAAAATACAAACCCATTAAAAAGAGTCTCTTCGAGAAAAGCTTCATTTCGGGCATCGTAAAGCGCTCCGAACTTGGCCACTTGTCCAAATGATGGTCTTTTGATCAACGTTGACTCCAAATTGAGCATATCTATTAAAATATTTCTATGAAGAAATAAAGAATTTAAATAACAACATATAAAGGATCTAAATAACAAAATATGGGAAAACATATTTTATGAACCAAATAGAAAACCTTAAAATAACAGTATTTGAGAGGTTTATTGATAAAAGTATGCGAATTGAAGAACGAAAAAATCTATCATCAATGAACGGCAAAATTGTGAAATAGATGGAGCAAATGAAGTTGCAAGGAACGCTGGAGGGCCATAATGGATGGGTCACACAAATTGCGACAACCACAAGAGAGGATCGCACCACTGTCATTTCATCGTCACGAGGCATACTTTGGCCTTGATTTAAGTAACATTTAACAGTGTTTTAGACAAATTTATAGTCTGGAGGTTTAATCTGGTAGAGGGGTATACTAGTGGTATCTATAAGGTTTCCTGGTGCTATAGTATTTCGGAGGGGGGGGCAGTTTGCAAACAGTTTTTCGAACGTGCCACTAGTTTTAAAAACTTTCTGGGTAATTAGTTAAACTGAATCCATTGGAAGCATTTATCTAATCGATCATGCTATGGGGTAAAAACGTTTGTATTTTGTGCCTACTGATTTTCTGATTTCTAGGAGCAATGTTCAGAAATTCACTGGGCCCACTCGTCCTTCTAAACTTAACGCTGAATGCTCAACGCCACAAGACGATTCTGGAAAATGATCTTCGACCGCAAATATGGGCCAAGGTTGGTTGTTGTACCAGGACAATGCCCCGTGCCACAAGTTACAGCTGCTGATGGGACGCCGTGTTCGACTCGCCAATGGAGGAACGGCTCTGGTGCCAGGATGGTTCAAAGCAAACCGTGTTCAAGTTGTGTCTGCTCCTCCCTATAGTCCTGATTTGAATGTGATCGAGAACTTATGGGCGTTTGTGAAGTCGAAACTGAAGGGAAAACCATTCGGATCAAAAGTGGAGCTTTGGTACCTCATCCGTCGAGTCTGGGCAACTATTGGACCCCAAATTCTACGTGATCTGGCTGACAGCATGCCAAGGAGAATTCAAGCAGTAATTGCGGTTCGTGGAGGACCTACTAAGTATTGATTTTCATAATGTTTTTCTCACATGTTAAAAGACTTTTGTCCATCAATTTTTGGCTCAATTTTTGTTTTATTAAAAAGTTCACGACACCTGATAAATTGTCAAATCCATGTTTTTGTAATGTTAAAATTAAAGATAATAAGCTCTTTAAATCTTTTAATCGTTTGCAAATTGGTCGGATTTGGATCAAGATATACAAAGAACAAACTTCTAAAAACCAACGTTAAAAGACTTTTGTCCATGACTGTAACTCCGTTCCGTATCTTTGAACCCAGTGGAAATTGGGCCCCTCCTTAAGGCTCGAAAATGTTGCTCAAACTGGGATAAAAGTTGCTCAGAATAGTTTATAAATGCTTCCAATGGATTCAGTTTAACTAATTACCCCAGAAAGTTATTAAAACTAGTGGCACGTTCGAAAAAATCTTTGCAAACTGAAACATATAACAGCCAAAACAACGAGATACCAAAGAAAAAGAAACGTGTTGAAGCTCGGAAATTTTCGTTCCGAGGCTGGGTGGGCTAGGGATCGAAAGCGGCAGTAGCATCAGTTCAAAAATTGACAAAGCTTGAAAATGTTCAAGGCTTACTTTGCAACTTGGAAAAACGAAGGAGACTCAACAACTCAAATTGCTTTAGACTCAACTCGCGCAAAACTATAACAAAGGAATTAAAAAACTTCACCGGCTTGATTTAGCCTAAAATCAGAAAATTTCACGGGATGCATGGAAAATCACGCAATTTTCAGCTCCGGGGTTTCTCATTAGCGAATTTTATGTAATTTCTGAGCAGAAACAGTAAAAACGCGCACGAATTGCCCAATCCCAATAAACTTTCACAATCTCTAATTTCCAAAAGTTACAATTTCTGCTAGTGAGATGAAGAGCGACCAACTGACGGTAGCGAAAAAATCGCCACTATCGCCAACTGTACAGACGCGTAGCGACAGAAATGTTTATTCGTTAAGACAACAACAATCGCGAACTGAATATCTTTTCTTCTTCTTTTTGCCTATATAAATCGATTTGTCTTTTAATTTTCGTTTTCACTTCCATCGTAAAAAAAGCTGCGTTTAGGAGGCGTTTTACGGCTATCAGGTACTTTTTTTGAGTTTTTGTTGAACTTTGCCCCATCTTTTCCTATACTAAACGGCTCTTTTCCACTAAATTCATGTGCAAATTGAAAAACGATCATTGAAATCGTTAGACTGAAGGTTTTTAATCAAAAGCTACCCAGTTTTGCTCTACTTTCATTCAAAACTTGCTTCCTAAAACCATTGGTGCTATAGTAGTTAGAGAACAACGCCTTGAACGTGTGATCACTTTGTAAATTGCTTGGTAACAAGCTTGAAGCGTTCCGAATAAAGTTCAAGCCGTTTTCCGAGTCTGTTTGCATTGATACGAGCAAGAAATTGTAATAAACTTGCCCAAAACGGCTCAAAGTACAGAGTACGCTGTTAAGATCCATATGAGGCGTTAAAACGTTGAAGCTCAAGCGTTTCCCTAACTAGTACAGCATCAAACTAACTTTATCTCTTCATCTGTCATCCCTTTCGTGAATCGCAAAGCTATCACTTTGTTAAAGATACACTGGTGGTCATATGTATTAGTACCCTCTTGCAAAAAAATTTCTCTCAACGATTGCCCCCCTTAAAAGGCAGCCAAATTCAAAGTGCTAAAAAGCATTTTTTTGCTAACAAGCTCTAGTCTCTAAAACCACAAAAAAATTGATTCGAAATGTTTATTATCTTTTTAAAAAATAGCAAGAACGGAAAAGACACCTCAAAAATGGTGGACAAAAGTAATGACACCTTAGCTTTTCCTTTATTTTTTTTCTTGTTTACATTCATGTTTTGATGACTTTTTAAAATATTTAATTTTAGATGCCGTATCTACCGACTCCAATCAAAGAAAAGATCGTTGAAGGTCGAAAAAATGGAATGAAAACAGCAGATGTGGCTGAATAATTTGGATGCAGCGAAAGCACTGTGAAACGACTTTTTTAAACAATCAAAGGTTATTGGTTCTCTACACAGAGCTGCAAAATCTGGTCGACATCCATCAACAACAACTGCCGAGGATCGATCGATCATAGGGGAATTCAAAAAGAACCCAAGTCTTACCTCGACCGACGGAAGCCGCGTGTATAAATCACAATTCAGCAAATTTATCTCAGCAAGGACCGTGAGGATGCGACTCATCAAAGCAAAGTTGTACGCTAGACGACCAATAAAGAAGCCACGTATGACTCCTCGGATTAGGAAACTTCGTTTAGCCTTTGCTCGGAGGTACCAAAGTTGGACGAGTGACGATTGGAGTCGAGTAATTTTCTCTGATGACACAAAAGTTAATCTCTATCAGTCGGATGGACCTCCATTGAGCGGGCGACCAATTGGAAAGCGGCTACTACTCAAGTACATCAAACCCACGGTTCGATTTGGTGGTGGAAATATTATGTGCTGGGGTATGAATTTATATAGTTTTCTTCGTATAACTGTCAACTTGCAGGAGCGATGACAATAAATGTGGTCGGTCCACTTAAGATGATCAATTCAACCATGAAGTCTCAGCGATACATGGGAATACTTGAGCAACGTTTACTTCCATTTGCGAGCAAAACATTACCTCAAGGATGGTTGGACTACCAGGACAACTCGCCAGTTCATACAAGCAAACTTATGATGGGACCTGTCGGAAGACTCTCGAATGGAGGACGGGTACGATTTCCGGGCTGGTTTGCGATTAATGGTGTTTCTTTGATTGAAGCACCTTCTTTTCACCAGATTTCAACGTTATCGAGAATCTATGGTCGATTGTGAAAGCGAAATTGAAGGAGAAACACTTTTCGTCCAAAGTCGAGCTTTGGTCCTATCTACGTCTTGTATGGAATCAAATTGGATCATCAGTTTTGCACAATTTGGTCGACTCGATGTCCAGACGGATAGAAAAAGTCATTCAAGCCAAAGGAAGACCAATAGACTATTAAATTTACTGTTGTTTTTGCAAGGGGTCAATACTTTTGTCCACCATTTTTGAGGTGTCTTTTCCGTTCTTGCTATTTTTTAAAAAGATAATAAACATTTCGAATCAATTTTTTTGTGGTTTTAGAGACTAGAGCTTGTTAGCAAAAAATGCTTTTTAGCACTTTGAATTTGGCTGCCTTTTAAGGGGGGCAATCGTTGAGAGAAAATTTTTTGCAAGAGGGTACTAATACATATGACCACCAGTGTAGCTAGATTTTTGATTTAAAAATTTATTTTTATCAGTTTAGACGTTATTCTTTAGCATGGCTTGTCGCATTAGACGCCTAACACCGCAAAATTCGGTTCTCTTCGTGTGCGATCTCCAAGAGAAATTCAGGTTTCCGGTTTTGTATTAGCTCTGTAAAATTTTTGTTTAGGAATCAAATCAAATTTTTCCCGGAGATCTGCCAAGTTGGACGACGTTTGGTCGATGCGGCAAAGTTGCTTGATATTAAGGTGCATTTGTTAGTTTAATAGCAAGAAAGGATAGTTTAATTATGTTTAAGTGGATGATCTTTAAAATTTTAAAAGCTTATTCAGCTTTAAGGTTTAAAAATAAAGCAGATTTCTTTAGATAATTTCTTTTTTTGACTATCGCAACTGAGCAATACCCCAAAGGACTTGGCCATCTCGTGCCTGAGCTTGGACTTCAAGAAAGACCCGACATTCCGAATTATGACAAGAGCAAAGTAATTTTTGTGATTATGTGTGAAACACTTTTGTGAAACACGCTGCCGCTTGAGCTCAAGGATCGATTGTCGATGTGGAGACGCTTTAAAAATTCCTGAAAACAACCATACTAATGTATTGAAAGTTAGTAATCATACCATAAAATCAGAAAAATACACAAAAACCATAAAAATAGGTAAGCAAAAAGTGAAGTGCGGCTCATAACATGATACGACGTTATTGCGGTAATCGAAACAAATCCAAACCATATATTATCCAACAAGAACAAACAACTATCAAGATCGTTTATACAAACATTTCGAATTTTCTATAGCTCTATATGTGTCAAATGCTTGCTCTTTCCGAAGACTTTCTGCCAATTCTTGTTCTTTTTCGGCAATGAAGCTACCAGCGATCCGCTCAGGTACGACTGAGCAAACGATACGATATTCTCGGTGGACAGACCGCTGAAACCCGTGAAATCGGGTTTGTATATCGTTAGGATCTCTTTTTCAAAAGAAACGATCCGAAGGGTCGGAAAATCGTTTTGCGTGAGTCCGAAGAAGTCGATAATCGGGTCGCTGTCGTCGATGTCGGTGTCCACGTAGACGAAACCAATCTGAATTCTTGGAAAATGAAAATAGATTTACATTTTACTGTCTTGATTCTGTTTCTAACCGATTTGTTTTCCTCCGTTAAAGGGGCGGCTAAAAATCGTGGCCTATTCTCACTAAAAAATTTTCGAGAAAATTTACTTATTTTGTGTTTATTTGTTAGATTTATTACTAGAAATGTTAAAAATGAATTGGTAAGATTAATTTGAATCCCGACAATCCTTCTTTAGAGATCGGCATCGACATTGAACAAATTAATTTGAGAACAAAATAGAGTTTATTCACATTTTGCGTGATCAGCCTTTTAGTGCTTCTTTTTCTGGATTTTGGCAGAAACAGTATCAAGACAGTAAAATCCAAATCGATGTTCCAATTGATTCCAATACAAATAAATACTCGATTAGAAGTCAATTACGGTTCTTTATTATTGCTTTGATCGTATTGCTTTGACAATTTATCACCTTGCCGTGTCTCTTTCTAAGTTAGCCTAAAATTTGAATATTTTTTTTTGTGCAAAACAGCATACGAAGTCCTCTTTTTACTTAATCTATTCAATTTACCGATTAAATAAACTTAAGTAAGCTCTTTTAGTTCATTTAAATTTCTTTCAATCAGTAGCTGATTCAGTGCCAAACTGGTTATCTAAAAGGGGCGGAGTAATAATCATCGGAAAAGAAGTAATAATCAATAATGTATCATCGGAAAAGGCCACGGGACCCAATGATCTTTTCCTTGTGAGTCTGAATGTATCTTTTTTCTTAGCATTATGGAAAGTTTATGTAATCAATTCGAAGTTTTTTGTTAAACCAACCTTTCCTTTGAATTGTTTGGCGGCGGCTTTGAATTGGCGATTGATTCTTGCAAAATCGAATTGATCCTTTGAGAAGAGAACAATGTGAGTTGTGATTTCCCCACCAAATAAACGAGATCGAGCCTTTTCAGAATAATGACCGACGAGTGGGCGACGATTTGCTTGAATCCAAAATCTCAATGCTTCGGATGTGAACTGAAATTGTTGACTTTTATGAATGTGACTAAAACTAATGTGATTTTATGTAGTTCTATTGTGGTTTTATCAAAAAAAACTTATTTTTCTATTACCTCATCCTCAAAAACGCTTTTTCCCTCGTCGAAGTTCTTGAAAAGGATGACTCCTTCGCCGTCGAGCTTGAGCAATTTCTTCACAGATTTCTCAACTGTGATCCCGGATTGGAGATCGGGAATCTGGGTGACCAAATCACGGAAAACATTTGCTTTCACGCTGTCAAGAGTCTTGAATTGAAAATTGATAAAATGAGGCTTTTATTAACACAAAAATGATCATTATCAGTTACCTCAAAGTATCCGATTACGGCGACGTCAGCTGAGGCGGCAAATTTCTTGAGATCATTAGCGTTGAAAAGAGTCACAACAGAGTAGGCTGAGCAAATCAGCGGCAGCAAAAGGGCAATCGTCTTGAGCATTTGATGTTAGACCATTGAACGTTTTTGTGTTTTGGTCTAAATGATTGTGCAGTGTATGAGAGAAAACGAAAGGGGTAATGAATTTTTAGATACTTTCTTCAGAATCTAGCACAATAACTAGCAATAGTTAATCTAGCAAGAAATACAATAAACCAAATCAATCGTTGGCTTGGTGGTTATGATAAAAAAAGGCGAATATAAAGTCTCTCTGTCCTTTTCATCACACAAAACGATCTTCAGAGGTGAGGAAAGAGAATCAGATATGCTTTAACTATAGCATGAAGCTCGTGAAGTTTTTATAGTTAATTCTGCACACATTATAGTTACTTTTTGAGAAAAAGATTATGGAAGAAATTCATTTTAGAAAAAATGAAAGAAAGACAGTGAGAGTGGATAGTGACTGAAGGAAAAGGAATAGTGGTCAGATCTCTCTCTCTATTCCTCCTTTTCCTGTGCTTTCTATTTAGTCCTTATAGTCGTCACCCCGATTCCCTTTCACTTTCAGAATGAAAAAGGAAAGAAAGATCCCTTCAAGCAAAAGGAAAGCAGGTTTTCATCGGAACATTTTGAAACTCAAAAAGCATATTCATTTGCCGTTTGCTTTTTAGCAATAAATGCAATTTTCATCAAACATCCAACTTTTTGACTATAGGATTTTTGTTTATTTTATTAGCGGAAAAGAAAAAAGAGAATCTGATTAGCATTTGCAACAATCCGTATACAGTTGTCATTAATACAGCAACAATGTCCACAGCAGGCCACAAGAAATACGGCTCAAGCGTAACGATAGACAAAAACTTTAATCATCATCAATGTCATCACCCTTTGAGCTGGCCATAAATTAAAACAACTAGTTATCAAAACTATCAAAACGCATCAAACTGTGTCTCAATTTGCTTATCCTCGATTTAATTCAGTAATGGGAATAGACTGAAAAAGCTTGGCCAATATTTAAAACCAAGAGCTCTCACAATCAGAAATCGACAGCCTGCAGCTTTTCAGTGTATCAAATTGTCTCCAGGTGAAATGAAGAGAGAAACCCGTTTCCTTTTCATCTCCATCCTTTCTTTCATCTTTCGAACACCCAAATCACCTAGGATTTATCATCCCGGCAATTGGATGCCATTCGAATTTTCTTTTTGGATAGCAGGAAATGCTCGGCCGCTTATTTTTCTTCCTTATTTTCATTCCTTTCGTTGTTGTGCAATGGAACTTTGATGTAAACAATTTATTCAGTAAGTTTTCGTGGAGTTCGAACAATTCAAAAAAAGGCACATCATTGGAAAAAATTTCTATTTCACTTGATTCAAAGTTAAGCTCATACTTTACTAGTTTTGTCTATAATTTTCAAAAATCTGTATTCTAGAATCCAATGTAAACATCAATAATTCCTCATAAATCAAAAAATCTACCAAATTTTGCCTTATCAAATGTAAAATGTCAATTAAATTACCGTAAATTCTCTAATCGAAAGCCACCCCGATAATGACGGGGAAAGAATATACAGGATAGCGCACAATTATGTAAACTCGGTTTTTCGACTGTAACTCGACGCCCAATGATTCAATTTGCCTAATTTGATATTCATATGAAATTTCAAGTTAATTTCTGCGGTCAATTTCAATTTCTAGTTCAGAAACACAGTGCTACGCTTTTTATAGCGCCTCGAAGTTCAGAGTTGCCAACCTCTCGACAGAATCACGGTTTTCGATAGATTTCAACTCTCTTCAACAAGAATTCCCCAAAAATCAACCAATTCTTTTAGTTTTTTCTCACTCCTTAGACAATATTTAGACAAATATCACAAAATAAATGCATTAACTTTGCAAGACAAAAAAAAATCAGGAATGATTTGAGGTGTACAGCTCGCTGCTCTGCTCAGCTTTTTGGGAATTCAAACTATTGGCTCTCAAAAATTTTGAAATCATTGAAAATCTTCTGATGCGAAATGTTCCAGATCATTCTATTTCTTAATAAAAAGCAAAAAATGAGTAAATACGAAGCGGGAAATTCTTCAAAATATGTGCAAATCCTGCCAAACAAACGTATCGATGCTTTAGATCTAGTGGCTCTTTGCCGTAAGTAATTGGCTTATTGATTTCAGTATGTATTGTATGATTAAGTATCACTGTGCATTTCTCTATGATTTCTTTCACTTTATCGTTTGAATAAAGTATTATTATTATAAACAACGATTCTGGCGAGAGGTTGGCAGCTCTGAACTTCGAGGCACTATAAACAGCGTAACACTGTGTTTCTAAACTAGAAATTGAAATTGACCACAGAAATTAACTTGAAATTTCAAATAAATATGAAATTAAGGGAATTGAATAATTGGAGTCGAAAAGTTAGAGTCGAAAAATCGAGTTTCCATAATCGTGCGCCACCCTGTAGCTTTGTGATGAAATAAACGATTAGTGAAAAAAGTTTGTAAGAGTAAAAAAGTTCATAAAGTTTCCTTTAAACGTGCGCTTGATATTCCAGCACCACAGAGGGGCCAAGACGTGCATTCAGTGTACCGCCGATTCCAATCCTACATGGCCTACCCCCAATACTATCTCCAGAATCCACAGACACCAGAAGGAATTTAAAGAAGATAACAAAGATAACGATTAACAAAGAAAACGATAAATATGTATATCTTCGATGTTGTTAATGAAAAAGAAAGAACTTTATTTGTAAAGGATCAAAGAACTGTTTTGTTTTTCATCAAGTTCACACTTCTAGTTTTTCTAGTTAAAAAAAAACCGATTGCCGAGCGCTTTTGATGCTTTTCCTCTAATCTTTTCGATCTCTTTCATCAATTTCTTGTTTTCAATCTTAATCTTTTACCTCTTTTTCCGAGATTTAACCTCGGGAAAAAATCAACAATTAGAAAATCGATTAGAAAACCTAAAGCTTATCAATGGATTTCCGCTTTCGACCCTGATTTCTTCAGAGATTCAGGGTCAAAAGTGAATTCACTCGAATTTATTGACTTATCAATGGATTTCCAGGATTCCAATGGATTTCCAGGATTCCAATGGATTCTGTTCTTTGTCAAGAAAAAAGTTCCAGCCAAAGAAGTTCTTGAGGAAATCAATACTATTTATGGACAAGGTTCAGTTTATAAATGGTACGATCGTTTGACAGTTTACAAATGATAAAGAGGAGACTTTTCTATGGAAGATGCACCGCGGATCATGGATACAAATCAACCACTCGCTGAAGAAATCAAAAAAACAAGACCAAACAAGGGAAAAGTCCTCCTTCAACACGATAACGTGAGACCTCATGTTGAAAAGCTGACACAAAAGAAAATCGTTGATTAAAGCCAGGAATGAGTTGAATACAGCCTACCTGGTCGCCACGGTCAATTCGTTTCCGAAACGACTCAAGACCTGCATTAACGCTCAAGTCTTCCACTTTGAGCCTAATTGATTTTTTTTTGTTAGAAAATTAATATAAAATAGTTATTTTATCAGTGGGTTAAGTATTTTTAAATTGCAATTGACTAATTCCAGTAAATACCGAGTTGCTATAATGACAGAGCAGCCTGTAAAAATGTTCTCATGTATTGTTTTCAGAAATGGATTGTTTCAACGATTTACCAATATATAAAAAAGTGATAAAATGCGCATATGATTGAAAAATCTTTTTATCTTTTTATCCAAATCGCTTCATCAGCACTTGCAATTCGATGAAAGCAGGGCGATTTGATGGCGTTTTTGGCGGGGTCATCGTCACGGCACAAACAAACGAACACTTCTTTTGCTTTTTGAGGAAAAACTTTTTATATGCGAGCTTTTCGAGGTTTAGCAATAAATAGCCATTAGCAGATTGATGAAAATCGGCAAGCGAGCCACAAGATTTGCAATTCATTTCAAAAAATCTCTCAATTTCCAAGGCCTCTCCTGCGTTTGATTCAATCCCTTTTAACCCAACGATTGACTCAGTGAGGGTATTCAAATCGGCGATAACTGTCACGATTTTTGGTTCTCTTCGTTTTGGTGACTGTTTGATTTTAGCGCGAAGTGTGATCGCTTCAAAATTATCAATGCCGTTTTTTAGAAAACTTTTCGCTAACTTTTCAAAGTTTCCCCATTTCTGGAGGTTCATCTGTGCAAAAAATTTTTGTGGTAATGAGAAGAGCTCTGAGAAATTGAGTGGATCTTTTTGACTGATAACGACTTGTTTGCAGTTCTTTAGATGATCTTTGGCTAAATACTTCTTCAAGTATTGTTGCACTTCAACAAAAGCGCGAACATCGTATCGTCCAATCGATAAATGACAATAGAGATCCGGGTTTGGTTTGATATTTTTCAATAAGAGTTCAGCAATTGCGAGATAAGTGATATCAACATGGAGCTCGGCGATTCGACCGATTAATGGAAAGATTTTGTTTTTAGAGAATAGCTCTACCAGCTCGTCTTCGATGTGGGCACACTCGTACTCGTAGCTGTCTTTGCCGAGCTCGAAATCCAAATTCATCACTTTAGCCGACTCGATTCGATTCAATTGATTCCAAAGAGTGGCTTTCTGCTTTGGGTACAACGCCAACGTATCCCCGCCTTCAATCAATAGCTGATTTCCAAAAGAAAAGCGGAGATGAGTGCCCGATTTGAAGTTTAAAATCACAACGAGTCGATTGTCGCCCGAATAGATATTCTCCTCGAAAAGCAAATCGATCTGAAAATTGATGAATGAGCATCGAAATTTTCTAATTTTGCAGTCATCATCGCTAAAAATATACCGCTTTCTCTCTAATAGTAGTGTACCCTAAGCTTTGCCTAAATTTCTCGAAATCTCGAAAAGCGCTTATCAGAACCTATCGATGCGGGGTCGGAAAATGTAGCTGACGATGAGATCTAGTTGGTTTTTAAAGTGTTGAGCTTCTGCGAAAGCTTGGAAACCGTAAAATCGTCGCCAACTCGGCTGGGTGCACTACTATTAGAGAGAATACGGTATTTGCTCTAGATATATCAATTTTTTTTGGTTAAAACTTTCATGCATATTTGTAAATGCAGTTTTAAAACTTGTTGCTAGTAACTTTTCATAAAGTTTTTTTAACATCCATTTGGTTGGAGAGAAAGTCGCCGCCGATTTCTTGGAATAGGATGTTAAACTTATCGGATTTTTTCCTGTAATAGCTCATTTAAAAGCTAATTTTCTAGAAGATTGAATGGAGAAAACCGTTTGTCGATTGTCGAATTTTCAACGTTTTTGCAGCCGTTTTGCTCAGGGTTGACCCCAGATTTCAAAAGAATAAACTTTCTTTGTTTTTTGTATGAAAACTTGTGCTGAAACGATGTTTTTCGGAATCAGCATTAAAAATTACCCTAAAATCCAATAAAATTGTTTTATTAGGAAAATTTTTTTTAGAAAAACTGACTTGACCCGGAATCGAACCCTCGACCCTTGGATTACCATACAATTTTTGTTTTTTCGATGCTTTTTGAAAATGTTCGTGGTTTTTCTTACTTTTTTTGCTAAAATTTGTTACTGTTTTGTTTTAGGGAGGCAGATCGGCGCGAAAAACATCGAAAAAACAAAAATTGTATGGTAATCCAAGGGTCGAGGGTTCGATTCCGGGTCAAGTCCGTTTTTCTAAAAAAAATTTCCTAATAAAACAATTTTATTGGATTTTAGGGTAATTTTTAACGCTGATTCCGAAAAACATCGTTTCAGCACAAGTTTTCATACAAAAAACAAAGAAAGTTTATTCTTTTGAAATCTGGGGTCAAAGACACCTTGAGTAAAACGGCTGCAAAAACGTTGAAAATTGATGAATCGATAAACGGTTTTCTCCATTCAATTCTCTAGAAGATTAGCTTTCGAATGAGCTATTACAGGATCAAATCGGATAAGTTTAAGAGCTTAATCCGAGTAATCGGTGGGAACCTATATAATTGAAGTTGCTTGAAAAAATCAGAAATTAGATCTGTGACCAAATGAAAAACACACCTGTTGGATTCGTTTTGGAAATGGACCATTGTCGAGGAAATATTTTCGAAAACGCTTGTTCGTCTGCACCAAATTCAGCGATTCCTCGGTCTCAATGTGGGAGAAAATCGCATTTTGAAGTTCGACAGGCAACAGGGAGTACTTGAATTTTTTCCCATAGTTTTTAGATGAAGTTTTTCTTTTGGAATTGTGTTTTTGAGTGATCGGCATTGTTGGGAATGGGGGAGTAAGGGACAGAAAGGGGTTTTTTTTTCCCTTTCTCGCTTATCTGAAAGAGATTGAATCGTGTGGAGACACGTTAGCGCTTGGTCTAAAAAGAAGAAAGAGTGAGTCACTCTGCCCTCTGACCTCTGGGAAACTCTGACCATTAAAAAAAACGCTTGAAACAAAGATCTAGAACAAAATTTATTATATATTCTAAAAAAACCAAAAAAAATCTTTTAAAAAGAAGATATTTACAACATTTTAAAAGAATCAAAGTCAAAATTTCAACTAAAAGTTGAACATATCCTTTTCAAAATAGAATTAATTAGCTCTTTTTTTTTCAAAATAGAATTGATTAGATATTAAATTAACGTAAATATAGAAATGTTTAAAGTTTTTCGCATGGTTAGATCACAAATTTCTACTATTTGTTTTTTTTTTTCAGATTTTTGACCTAATAAAGTTATGTAGCTGGGGCTGGAAATACGAAATTTCAGCTTCAATGCTGTTGATTGTTAGTTAGAATTGTTAGAATTGTTAGAATTGTTAGAAGTTATTGCAGCTTTGTTTCTGTTGATTGTTAGTTAGAATTGTTAGAATTATTAGAAGTTATTAGAAGTTATTTCAGCTCCGTTTCTGTTGATTGTTAGTTAGAATTGCTAGAAGTTATTAGAAGTTATTTCAGCTCCGATGCTGTTGATTTTAATTTTAAAATATAATTTCAGCACTGAATTAAAAATTTTTTTTTGTTTAAAAGTGGGTCATCTGTTCAAAAAAGTTTCAATTTTCTGTGGAAACGGTCCAATGGCGGGTTGTTTTGTTGTTCGTAGTTGTTGCTCTCAATCCTATAAGCCAGCATCTCTTAAACGTTTCATAATCAATCCGTTTTCAGTTATGACGAGCTTGCCGATGCACTCTACCGGCGCGGGTTGGAGTTGATGAAAATCGATGATTGCCTAATGGATGAGAAGCCTGATTTCATTACGATTCATACGGATTTAATTCATAAGGTATTCATAAGGATCAATACTACATTTTTTTTAACGAATTTCTAGATAAACTGAATTAGCTTTTAGATTTATAAATATATAGATACTTTATTCAAGACTTGAGATAATGTGCGCTAGATTTAAGATTAAAATACATGAATTCATGCACATAACATGAAAAGGGCCGGTAAAAAGCAACACGGTATAATATATCAAGATCAAGATCAAGATCAAGATCAAGATCAAGGTCAAGATCAAGGTCAAGATCAAGATCAAGATCAAGATCAAGCTCATCTACAGATAATTTAAAGGTTTCGAGACTATTGGACTCTCTTGAACTATTTACTATTGGATTTGATTTGAAAAGATTCTTTTTTACAGACAATTTGACTTCACCTTTTCCTGCCGAGTGCAAAGAAAACATTCGATTGAATCCAACGAAAGAAATGTTTAGTCCAATTGTTTTAGTCCAATTTATTCCAATTTATTCCAATTTTTTTTCTTGATTTTCTATTGAAATTCCATTTAAATCATTCCGAGTTTTGTGTTGCTTAAGCAATTTTTTTCTGACTTTTACTTTCAAATAAATAATATTATAAAAAAAATCAGTTCTTTCTCAGTGATTTTACATTAAATTTATATTTTTGCAGCTGATTCTTTCACATAAACATTTTTAACATTAGCCGAACACTAGAAGTTCTTATGTCCTTGTAGAAATTCGTAAAACGTGTCGTAGATGTCCAGGTGGCAGTCGCAGCAAAAGTTGCCTTTCGAGATAATAGAAAAGCTCTCACCCTATTTGATTGTTTTTGGAAAAGTGTTCTTGACTTTATCAGTTTTATGTAACAGCCAAAAAATCCGCTAGAATCCATTTTTATCCCTTGTCACAATCCGGAGTAAAAACGATTTACGCTGTTTGAAATCATAGATGAGCGGCCGCAAATTGAAACGCATTGCATTTCTGGGTGTTTGTTAAGACAGGTGATCATGTAAGTCATGGATCCAAGTCCCTAATTTCGATTTAAACCGAAGTTTATTTAAAATCTCAGAGTATTGTTTTAAACTAATAACTCTTTTACCAATAACTCTTACTATTTCGCGGGAAGAAAGCTTGTTGGTTTGAAAAATTTCGATCAACTTGGCATTATCCAACTGGATTGCTGAATGATCCCTTTGTCTTCGAGGATTTATCCCCAGAACCGAATTTTTCAATCTTGCACATGTCCGTAATGCAGCTGATTCTTTCACATAAACATTTTTAACATTAGCTGAACACTAGAAGTTCTTATGTTGTTGTAGAAATTCGTACAACGTGTCGTAGATGTCCAGATGGCAGTCATTTTTAAAGAAAATAGAATTTTTATCATTTCACAATTAAATTTTTCATAAAAATCGACCCATACTTGAAAAGATTTGACTAAAAAAAAAGAAAAAGAATAAGAAAATTTTCGAAAAATTAAAAAAAAATGAGTGAAATTTCAGCGGGTGAGCAAATGGGAATTGAGAAAAGGACATGCGGGGGGAAGATAGAGAAAATCGGTAACATACTTTAAAAAAAAAACCCGTATTGGAGAAATTGGAGAAACATTTGGTGAGAATGTGGGCTTGGAAAAATTCGGTATAAATAAATTTTGCATTTGATTTGTTTTTCTCTGGGCTACGATCGCTCCCGACTCAAGTAGTACCACCAGTAGAGAACTGAAAATGGGGAAATCCTTTTGAAACTCTTTGTACTTTCGTGTAAGCTTTCAATCCTATCTATATATATATAAAAGTGGAACGCGTCCGTCTGTCTGTACGTTTGTCCGTCTGTCCGTCTGTCTGTCCGTCTGTCCGTTTGTCCGTCTGTCCGTCACGCTTTTTATGGTTGAGGAGTTAAGAGAATTGTCGAGCGAGCGCGCGGGTGGACAAGGGTTCGAATCCCCTTTGTGCAAACGTTGGCCTTTCTTGCTGAAAACTTCTACTCAGGGGTAATCGGACCACGAATATTTATACCAAACCTTCTAGACTTCTAGACCTCTAGACTTCTAGGCTTCTAGACTTCTAGACTTCTAGACCTCTAGACTTCTAGGCTTCTAGACTTCTAGGCTTCTAGACTTCTAGACTTCTAGACTTTCTCTCAGATCCAGAGCTAAGTCAAGGCTGATTGGCTTAAACCTAAAAAACGGGTAGAGTGGAGCATTTTGTCTGGGAAGGGGCATCTTTTAGAAAAGAGCTTTTAGAAAACATTGGTGTACTGCTAGAATATCCTTCACTTTCAGGGCCAGACCGAATTTCTCCGGGGCGCGCCTTTTAAAAGTCAGTCACTCCCCTGACTGAAGGTGTTTCACACTACAGTATCCTTCTTTACGAGGGGTACTGTAGCCTTGCAGTAAGCCAATCCTACAGTAAAACTGCTCTCAATTTTACTCCAAGTTCACTCACCATTGAAAAATGCGAACAAAGCTGGGAAAGTCTTCGCCGCAATCGCATCCACCCTGGCGCCCACATCGGAAGCTGTCTGAAAACGAGAAATTTGCATAAAAAGTCAATTTAGCTCGTAAAAATCTTTAAAAACTAAAAAAATCGGAAATTTCTTGAACTAATTTGATTGAAAAATCGATATTTTACCGTTGACATCATCTCGCGATTGTAATCTTCCTTAAAAACATTAGCTTAATAGTTTTTAAGGCCTTAGAGTACATCTGTTCTTGTGGCCAAGTGGCTAAAGCGGCTCATAGAATCTCATAAGGTCAGCCCCGGTAGAGTTCGACCCCGGTAGCCGCCTTTCTTTTTGCTTTTATGATAATTTGCATAAAATTTCTTGTACTATTCGAGCGGCATACTGTAGCTGAGTGAAAAGATCTTATTACCAATTGGTTTTTCAAAAATTCACCTGATTTCTGCCGATCATCGGGTAGCCGAGTGTGCCGAGGGAGCCGCTGCGCTCGAGTCGCCACTAGAAATTTGCATTGAAAATCGGCTACGATGAAATCTACAGAGCCTAGAAACATGCGGAAATTCTAATTGACACTTTTTCTACAGTACTCTGAGGAAAATCCGGGGGTTTTACATGCAAAGAGCCTCCAAATATAGGAAAAAACTGCCTTAAACTATAGGAAAAGCCTAAAATCTTTAATATCCAATGGAAATGGAGTAATTGTATCACAGTAACTGGAAAATACTTTGAAAGCTTTCTAGAGCTAGAGCTTTCTAAAGCTTTCTAGAGCTTACTAGATCTTTCTAGAGCTTTCTAGAGCTTTCTAGAGGTTTCTAGAGCTTTCTAGATCTTTCTAGAGCTTTCTAGATCTTTCTAGAGCTTTCTAGAGGTTTCTAGAGCTTTCTAGAGCTTTCTAGATCTTTTTAGAGCTTTCTAGAGCTTTCTAGAGGTTTCTAGAGCTTTCTAGATCTTTCTAGAGCTTTCTAGAGCTTTCTAGAGCTTTCTAGATCTTTCTAGAGCTTTCTAGAGGTTTCTAGAGGTTTCTAGAGGTTTCTAGAGCTTTCTAGAGCTTTCTAGAGCTTTCTAGAGCTTTCTAGAGCAAAAGATTCGAGATTCGGATTCGGATTCTGGGAAATTTTATATAAAACCGTTTCCTAAAAGATAAACTCAAGCTAAAGTTACCGTGGCTCGTTGGTTTTCGAAATTAAGGCAAATTTCGAGAAAGAATTATCAAACAGAATCGTCTCTACTCCAAGCGAAAGATTTACTATTTTATCTGGCTAAAGTTTAAAACGAACAGTCAGCAGAAAGTATTACAGTATGGTGAATGAAATCTAGAATGCAAATTGAATTAAGATAAAAATGCAAAACAATTTGCGCAGGCCGGGAATCGAACCCGGGTCGCCCGCGTGGCAGGCGAGCATTCTACCACTGAACCACCTGCGCTCGAGATAAGGGTGGGGAAACGAGGGCTATGAACGAGGGGATTTGGCGTCAAAGATTAGGCAAAGTTAATCAAAGACTATCGTAGCTTTGAAAGAAACAACGTTCTGGAGTGAGTCAGTTAAAAGTCGGGGTTTAGCCTGAGGCTGGCTTTGGAACATCTTTAGGTTAGACCAAATATGTCCGGCCAAACAAATATGCTCTAGCCTTTCACTCAGATCGGCCCAGACCGGCCCAGATCGGTCCAGACCGGCCCAGATCGGCCTAGACCGACCCAGATCGGCCTAGACCGACCCAGATCGGCCTAGACTAACCCAGATCGGCCTAGACCGACCCAGATCGGCCTAGACTAACCCAGATCGGCCTAGACCGACCCAGATCGGCCTAGACTGGCCCGGACGGGCCCGGATCGGCTTTCGGCTGAGATTCCTTTTCGTAAGTTAAAACTCTTGAAAAGATTGGTCTCTGATTGTGTAACTTCTACAGTCGGAGTACGGTAACTTCTTAGAAGAGTACTTTTTATAAAACGTTCAATCTAATGTTTCTTGTGCACTACAGAAATCGGAATCCGTTCAACATTCCAAGAGAAATAAACAATCTATACAGATTTACAGGCTAAACTTCTTGATGTACTTTGTGCTTGGCTAAACGCACGCAATCCAGCGCACTGAGTTCCTAATTGTTTTTCCATAAAAAACTAGAATTCAGTGCGCTAGTAGGCTTACGTTTTGAGCACAAAGTAGACAAGAAAAGACAAGGTAAATTTTTACTATTGTGTCGACATCCGGGCCATCGACAATCGGCCACCACTGGCGTAGAAATTACTTGAAAAGAGACTTTTTTAAAGAATAAAATTGTTATCTAGATAAATCTAGAGAATTTTCTGATATTCTTACTTTATTGTGCATTTCCATTCCTCATCATTATTGTTGAGATGACTGAAACGAATCGAGGAATCCTGCTTGGCGAGTGGACACGTGGTTGAGGTCCTGCAAAGGTGGTGGGAATGAATTCGATTTTAACGTTTACTATTCTCATCCAGTGCTACGCATTAAGAGTTTAAGAAAGGAAATCTATTCGAGAAATTCTTGCGCTAATGGGAATAGATCGTACTTGGAAGCAAGTAATAATAGACAAGTAATAATAGACAAGTAATAATAGACGAAGAAACAGGTAGAGTTATAAGCTACACAAGTAGAACTACAGAGTAGAATGATGACAAATAATGATAGAAGATTTTCAACTAAAGACGTCGTAGTCCTGCAAAGGTGGTGGGAATGAATTGTCGTAAAAAAAAAAGTCGTAGCTTTGTCTTGTCTTGTCTGTTAATCGGGGGTTAAGGGTTCGATCCCGGCGGCTAGAAAGATTGGTTCTTTTTCCCATTATGATGGGTTTTTTTCTTAATAACATTTGGGTAATAGGGGTAATTAGGGGTAAAAATTTCCTCTGTTTTGTTGTAATTCATTATTTGTCTTGAATAAATACACTTTTAAAGCTGGCTTAGTTTGAATAAACTAGACTAAAGATTCGTCAACTGGATTTTAGGGACTAAAAAACAGGTGAGAGTCCGACTTGACTTCTAGTTATTATAGTTTGGCCTCTAGTTATTATAGTTTGGTTGACTTCTAGTTATTATATTGGGTTGGTGGAAAAGTCCTTTCGGATTTTTTGGGAGAGTACCTTAAATTTGTCGAATTTGGACGTTTTATAGCTCATCCTAAAGCTGAATTCAAGACGGATCGATTGGTAAAAACCGTTTTGAGATATCTCTTTTCTAAAAGTTTTTACAGCTATTTTAGTAAAGGGCGGCAGAGCCAAAAAATGGCTGTTTTCACGTTTCGTTAGTTTTCCGTGCAGAAACCTAGGCTAAAAACATGTGTTTCGTGATCAGCGTCAAAAATAACCCCTAGACACAAATTTTCAGAATCTTAGCAAAAAATAACCCAATAGAAAATTTCGCTCTTTTTTAATTTTTTCTTTGCAAAAGGTATTAAGGCAGTAGAGGTTTTGTATTGAGTTGCGTCTTTGTTTATGTCTCATTATTCAATTTGAATCATTTACTGGCACAAATAATTCTTCAGGAATGCACGCTAATCTTCGAATCGTATTCGTACAATGTGGCCGAAGTGCGATTGAAATGGCAAGAGTGGAGTCCAGTGACAATGCCACCGCCTGATGATTTCCGGTAAAAACCATGAGAATTCTAGATCTTTCAGCTATTAGAGGCAATTTTCTAAAAAAATTAGATAATTTAGATGAACTATCGTAATCAAATAGTCAGCTTTCATTCAATCATCCAAATCTTTGGACCATTCGACGAGGAATCACAAGATTCGGGGTGATTGAATGTAAAATGTTTGGGATTACGATAGTTTATCTAAATTAGATGCCTTAGTTTATCTAAATTAGATGCCTGAACGATTTTAATGTTACAATTTTTTTGATTATTTTTCTTGATTACATCCAGCGGTCCCCTCAATGCCATTGTGCCCGGATTGAGGTTTTTTTTTTCCTTGCGTCTCTTTACCTTTCTTTCTTTTCTCTTTCTGGAAAACTTTACCGTAAATACTGTAATAGTACCCCGCCGCCCTCGTACAGTCGCGTAGTCGCAGTTTTTAGTATTTCATTTTTTTTCAAAGCGCCCGTACTTTCAAAAAATGCGAGACGGATCGATTGGTAAAAACCGTTTTGAGATATCTCTTTTCTAAAAGTTTTTACAGCTATTTTAGTTAAGGACGGCAGAGCCAAAAAATGGCTGTTTTCACGTTTCGTTAGTTTTCCGTGCAGAAACTAAAATTTACTAAAATAACTGTAAAAGCTTTTAGAAAAGAGATATCTCAAAACGGTTTTTACCAATCGATCCGTCTTGAATTCAGCTTTAGGATGAGCTATAAGCTAAAGCTTTAGGATGAGCTAAACGTCCAAATTCGACAAATTTAAGGTACTCTCCCAAAAAAATCCGAAAGGACTTTTCCACCAACCCAATAGTTTGGCCGGAAAGTCTTGTCCACCTTTTCTTTGTACTTCTGTTTAAAAATAACGAATTCACCGATTGACCTACGATTTGCTCTATTAGAAAGGCCTACTATTTTCCTACAAAAAAAAGCGTTTAAATTTTATGAACATCTTTTTTCTCTGGTTTTTTATGGGAACGCAAAGTCGCATAGTCAAGAAAAGACTACAACCCGAAGACGCAATTAAGGCAATTTTGGCAATTTTGGCACTTTGGTCCACAGAAAGCGATATTTGTGCCAAAAGATAAAAGATAGAGCACAAAAAGTTAGGTATATTTGGCAAAATTTCAGGATAATCTCTTCAGCCAGTTTCTTTGTAGCCAGTTTTATGGAATTTTGTGTAAAGATTCGTTTTTTTACATTCGAATTTACTTGAAAAAAACCCCAAATCGGCTTGAAAATTGAAAAGAAAAGTGAATAATAAGCATTTTCTATTTCGAGCCAATTGCTGGATTGGTTATTTTTAAATAGAAATACAAGAAAAAAGTGGGACAAGGCTTTTTGAAACTGATAGCTGGTACAGGAACATTCTGATGGTCAAATCTCTCAAATCTCATCAAATCTCAAATCTCTCAATACACGGTAGAATAGAAGGCAAGCTCAAGAAATCTGATCTAGAAAAATAGCCTTAGAACAACCGTGAACATTTATAAGAGTTTCGCTTGTTATTTAGGACGAAGCCGATTTTTGGGGAGTCTTGGGGTCAGCGTCTTGTCTTGAGACTCAAAAGAGTCGATCCTAAACTTTAAGATTGATCGAATTGGCCATTGATAAAAATCGATCGATTATATCTATTTAAATCTACAAAAATCAAGGTTTAGAAAGGTTTTTGAAAATACTAGAAAGAGAAGAAAGACAGGAAAGTTGATAGCTGGTACAGGAACTTCCTCGTCAAATCTCTCCAGTAAATCCACGTCAATCTACGGTAGAATAGAAGGCAAGCTCAAGAAATCTGATCTAGAAAAATTGCCTTAGAACAACCGTGAACATTTATAAGAGTTTCGCTTGCTATTTAGGACAAAGCCGATTTTTGGGGAGTCTTGGGGTCAGCGTCTTGTCTTGGGACTCAAAAGAGTCGATCTTAAACTTTAAGATCGATCGAATTGGCCATTGATAAAAGCCGATCGATTATATCTATTTAAATCTACAAAAATCAAGGTTTAGAAAGGTTTTTGAAAATACTAGAAAGACAAGAAAGACAAGAAAAACAAGAAAGTTAGACTAGAAAGTTCAGAAGTCAAAAAAACGGATTCCCATCTCTAAACTCACATCGACGCACTACTTCCCAACGAGTTGCGCGCCGCCGAGGCAGGCCTCAGAAATTGACTCGTTCTACAGGATTTTTACATAAGAAAAAAGGAAAAATGAGAAAAAAACCCTATTTTCCATCAAAATCTAATAATCTAGAATGTTTGATTTCAAAAATTTCCCACAATCACAACAATTTTTCAGACCTTCGATGCACTGGAGCGATCGGGATGCGCACGTCATCCGTGCGTAGTCTTTAGAAAAGAAAAAAATTAGCATTTAGCTTTACATTTAACCCTTAAGACACCACAAATTTGCATAGATTTCTTGAAAAAACAAAGCATTATTAGTGCAAAGTAAAAAAAAAATTCAGAAATTCAGAAAAAATTTGCCTTTTATCCGCAAAAACGCAGAAACGTCGCCTGTTTTTTTGAGAGAAATCGTAAAAAATTATGATATTTTTCGATAAAAACCTACCGTAAATACTGTAATAGTACCCCAGCTCTAAAATGACGGTGCGGAGTGTTGCGTAGTCTAGCTTTGAACGAGTTTTTCTCGACACTGGTTTATGCTACAATGCGCGCTTAGGTATCAAAAAATAGCCCTGAATTTCAGCTATTTTTTGATAACAAAGACGGAGCATCGCGTAGTCTAACTTTAAACGCATTTTTCTCGTCATCCTTTTATAATGACGACCGGGGCATCGCGTAGTCTAGCTTTGAACGAGTTTTTCTCGACACTGGTTTATGCTACAATGCGCGTTTAGGTATCAAAAAATAGCTGAAATTCAGGGCTATTTTTTGATACCTAAACGAACATTGTAGCAGGAAATAGTATCTGAACTTATAGCTACAGTAGCTCTGTCTCACTACAATTGCTACAGTAATCCATAGTAACTTTAGAGTAATCCTCAAGTTTTAAACCCTGAGATTTCAGTTCCTGGAATTTCTGATTGAAAAAACTGAAATTTTATAATGACGACCGGGGCATCGCGTAGTCTAGCTTTGAACGAGTTTTTCTCGACACTGGTTTATGCTACAATGCGCGTTTAGGTATCAAAAAATAGCCCTGAATTTCAGCTATTTTTTGATGCCAAAGACGCATTTTTTGAAAGTACGGGCGCTTTGAAAAAAAATGAAATACTAAAAACTGCGACTACGCGACTGTACGAGGGCGGTGGGGTACTATTACAGTATTTACGGTATCTATATTTAAGCTGGATCTTATTCTAACTATATTTTATCTAATCTTTTGAAATTTCAATTTAAAAACTCACTTTTTACAAGCGGAAATCCCACGAGCCGCTTTGTAACGCTGCATTCGTTGAGCACGTATTCGAATTTCAGTGATTCTAAAAATGCAAAAAAAAAATTGCTTTTTTTCATATTTAACTGTTTAGAAAGAGATTTAGTTATTTAGTTAATAAATTTTTGATTTTTTTTTGTTTAAAATTAGTACACATCAATGATTTATGAACTTTTCCCAAGCCATAAATACAGCCACAATTATAACGCCTCATTCCAGAGACTCCATCCGAAAGCAGCCCAATTTTTGAGCTTAATTTTTCGGGAAACAAATCTCGAGTATTTCTTCTGTACTTATCTACCTCATTATCTAACCAATTGGAATTTTCAGCACTGTTATATCGTCTCTTAAAGCTGAGATTTCGAGTTACTCGACACGCAAATCATCTTTGAGTTTTTATCTCTTAGTTAACTCCCTCTGGAGTCAAGAGGACCGATTACGTCGTGGTGTAATGGTTAGCACAGTTGCTTTGTAAGCAAAGGGTTCGGGTCCCGGCGGGGCAAGACTTGCTCTCTAGTTCTTCTACTAGAAAAAAAGTCTTGTTTCTTGGTTCTTGTTAAATCTTGGTCTTTTTGCAGCTTTTAAATTGTTTACAGTGATTTCTGGATGTTAAAGCGGCAGTTTTTTTGAAAAAGGACTATTATAGAGCTTTTCAACTAGATAAAAAGGCTTTTTTCAATGGTTAAAGCTCTTTTCAATGGCCAAGTTAAACCAAATCAATTTTCTTAATCTTTTAAATGATTTTCATCAGCTTTTTGACAATTAATATTAGCTAAGCTGTTTCAAAACAATTTTAAATATAAAAAATGATATAAATAATGTAAAAAAGCTATGTTCAACCGATTTCCGATGATAAAAAAGTAAAAAACTCAAAGATACCTTGAGTAACTTGATAATGCTTGAGTAAAAGATTCAATCTAACAATACTGAAAACTCGAATCAGTTAGATAATGAGGATAGCTAAAGAAGAAATACTTAGAATCTATTGGGTTGGGGACTATGACTCGGCGCTAAACTTTAAAGGGACTTTTTGCACACATAAAGCCTTCTTTAAACATACGTTTGGTTTCATCAAAAGGATCCACTATTTCTCTACAAAATCACTTTTGAGAGATTCCACAAAGCTTTTCTTTCGTCGAGTTTATGAACTTCCAAACGCAGCTGGTTAAAATGGCAAAGAGTCCGACTCATCATTTGAACAGTTTCTTTCACATAAACCTTCTTTGGTGTTTATATAAAAAAGATAGAGCGCATTCAATTACTTAAGTTGCCAAATTTGCAGGAAGATCCCACCAATGGTTTTTTCTAGATAGCAGTTTGTAGTTTTTGTGAAAAAATGGCTTTTTCTTGAGCGGAGGCGCTGTTTGAATTTTCTTTTAAATGTGATTTTGTAGAGAATTAGTTAACCATTCTACTCATATCAAACGCATATTATTTGACGAAGTCGAATTGAAGTTTTAGACATTTTTTTGATTTTCGGCGCCGACTCATTCTCCCCAACCCAATATTTCCAAGAATATTCGCTTGATTTGACTGCTTTCAGATCGAATGAGACTCTCTGAAATTGGGCAATTTTGAGAGATGGCTGAAAGTCTTTTCCTTAAAATGGGTAATTTTGAGAGAAACTTTTGAAAATCCAGCTAAACGGTGTGGATTTCGGTGTTGATTTCCAGATTTTCCATACATTTTCACATGAAGTGTCCAAATTTTTAGCTCGCTAACTTTACTCAAACGATTTTTAAGTATGTTATTGCTATGTTATTGCTATAGGGCTTGTTTTGTTTGATTTTATTTGATTTTTTTGATTTCCATGATTGCCACTCACTTGTCGACGAATCCAACCACAGCTAACTCGACCAGCGAAAAGAAAATAAACGCCACGCACACGAAAAACCACAAATCGATCGCTTTCACAAAGGAGACACGCGGGAGATTCTTCACAATGTTACCAAACTGAAAAAGGAGAAAATGGAGTTGTTTCCTTGACAAGTTGAAAGTTTTATTGGATATTTGAGTTTTATTTAGCTTATTTAGTTTCTAGCTCTCATTGGCAGTGCTGGTTTAGCTTTAGAGTTGAGCCAAGTCAACTCAAATTTAGCTACAGACTTGCCTAGTCAGTTTTGGTAAATCCTTGCTCAAATCAAAAACTTTCAAGTTTACCTGGAATGTCAATGCCATCAATGAGCTCACACCGAGAGTGATTCGAGCGGGGAGGGCCTGAAAATGAAAAGATGTCTTTATTAGGGTCGATATTTTAACCCTTGTGTCGACCCAGAAAGCGATCCACGAGATGAACACGGAGAGATATGTTGGGAGATACATTTGAAGCACATAATACCCATAAAGTCGTTTAAAGCTGCAAAATGAAAAGGTACTGATTTGAAATACTTTAAAGTGGAAATAGTATCATAGTGTAATAGATGGGTAAATCGTTTTCAATCAATCGTTTTCAATGCTTAAGGACCAGTTGCCCAAGACACTACTATAAACACTTTAATAAAAGCCACAGGAGCGCTGCGTAGTCGAAGTTTACACTCAAATAAACGCTCATTTCTCGACACGAGTACGTTTCTTTCTGCGCACTTAGGTATCAAATTAGAGTAGAGAAAATTGGCGATTTTTTTGTGATATAACACAGATTTTTAGCATTAACCAGTGCTTAGAATTAAATGATTGAAATGATGAGAGCTAGTGCATCGCATTCTACGCAAAATTTCCGAGCAAAATTCAGGTTTAAAATGATCTAACTTTGATCTGACTTTGAATCAGTCTGAGTTGATCTGTCCCTTAATCCGGCTCAAAGCTAGTCCTAACCCAGGCCTGGCTCAGACAAGGTCTTGCTGAATCGACACTATCCTTGGCTACAATAAGCTTTCAATCTTCTTATTATTTCGATTCTCTTAAAAGTTTACAAATAATTTTGTCTTTCCTACCGAAACGTGACTTCCAATTGATCCCACATCCCAGCCGTGTACTCATTCGACGTCATGCCCCAGGTGACATTATAGAATTGGAAATCGGGTAATCTAAAGAAAACTTTTTAAAACAATAGCTGAATATCTCAAGTTTAAGATTTCGAGATCTAAATCCAGCTTGCTAAATAAAAGCTACCGTAAGTACTGTAATAGTACCGCAGCCCCATAATCACGGTGCGGAGTGTTGCGTAGTCTAGCTTTGAACGAGTTTTTCTTGACACTGGTTTATGCTACAATGTTCGTTTAGGTATCAAAAAATAGCCCTGAATTTCAGCTATTTTTTGATGCCAAAGACGCATTTTTTGAAAGTACGGGCGCTTTGAAAAACAACGAAATACTAAAAAACTTTTGCGACTACGCGACTGTACGAGAGGGGAGTGGGGTACTACTATAGAATATACGGTATATTATTCAAGCAATCTTCAACCCAACGCTACGAATCTTACAACAAACGAGGAGACTTGTGTGTCCTCATTTGTACGACCGTTGCAGATTTATTGGGATCCATTAATCTCGGATCCCGATAACTGGCAAAAGAGAAGTTCAATCTCAATTCGGGCACCAATTTGGATGGAAGAAGGTGGGCTTTCCATTATCATCAATGCGCGTTTAGGTATCAAAAAATAGCCCTGAATTTCAGCTATTTTTCGATAACAAAGACGGAGCATCGCGTAGTCTAACTTTAAACGCATTTTTCTCGTCATCCTTTTATAATGACGACCGGGGCATCGCGTAGTCTAGCTTTGAACGAGTTTTTCTCGACACTGGTTTATGCTACAATGCGCGTTTAGATATCAAAAAATAGCTGAAATTCAGGGTTATTTTTTGATACCAAAGACGCATTTTTTGAAAGTACGGGCGCTTTGAAAAAAATGAAATACTAAAAAACTTTTGCGACTACGCGACTGTACGAGGGCGGCGGGGTACTATTACAGTATTTACGGTAAAGTTTTCCAGAAAGAGAAAAGAAAGAAAGGAAAAGAGACGCAAGAAAAAAAAACCTCAATCCGGGCACAATGGCATTGAGGGGACCGCTGGATGTAATCAAGAAAAATAATCAAAAAAATTGTAACACTAAAATCTTTCAGGCATCTAATTTAGATAAACTAAGGCATCTAATTTAGATAAACTATCGTAATCCCAAACATTTTACATTCAATCACCCCGAATCTTGTGATTCCTCGTCGAATGGTCCAAAGATTTGGATGATTGAATGAAAGCTGACTATTTGATTACGATAGTTCATCTAAATTATCTAATTTTTTTAGAAAATTGCCTCTAATAGCTGAAAGATCTAGAATTCTCATGGTTTTTACCGGAAATCATCAGGCGGTGGCATTGTCACTGGACTCCACTCTTGCCATTTCAATCGCACTTCGGCCACATTGTACGAATACGATTCGAAGATTAGCGTGCATTCCTGAAGAATTATTTGTGCCAGTAAATGATTCAAATTGAATAATGAGACATAAACAAAGACGCAACTCAATACAAAACCTCTACTGCCTTAATACCTTTTGCAAAGAAAAAAATTAAAAGAGCGAAATTTTCTATTGGGTTATTTTTTGCCAGAGATTCTGAAAATTTGTGTCTAGGGGTTATTTTTGACGCTGATCACGAAACACATGTTTTTAGCCTAGGTTTCTGCACGGAAAACTAACGAAACGTGAAAACAGCCATTTTTTTTGGCTCTGCCGTCCTTAACTAAAATAGCTGTAAAAACTTTTAGAAAAGAGATATCTCAAAACGGTTTTTACCAATCGATCCGTCTTGAATTCAGCTTTAGGATGAGCTATAAGCTAAAGCTTTAGGATGAGCTAAACGTCCAAATTCGACAAATTTAAGGTACTCTCCCAAAAAATCCGAAAGGACTTTTCCACCAACCCAATAGCTACTGGGATCATACCCGCGACCTTTTGACTATGATACAGAGACCTCTAACCACCCGGCCATGACGGCAAAAAGGCCAGCGACATAAAAAGATGCGAATACTGAGCCAAATGTTCCCGCCGCTGGGATCGAACCCGTGACTTCTCGATTATGAAACAAGACTCTTAACCACTCGGCCATGACAGCACGAGAATCAGTGACATAAAAAGGATACGAATACTGAGCCAAATCTTCCCGCCGCTGGGATCGAACCCGTGACTTCTCGATTATAAAACAAGACTCTTAACCACCCGGCCATGACAGCACGAGAATCAGTAACATAAAAAGGATACGAATACTGAGCCAAATCTTCCCGCCGCTGGGATCGAACCCGTGACTTCTCGATTATGAAACAAGACTCTTAACCACTCGGCCATGACGGTACAAAGGTCAATGACATACAAAAGATACAAATACTGAATCTAATAAGGCACAAGGACTACCTTGATATCATAACTGATTAGGTAAAGCGTTTGAGACAAGCGATAGGTCACGGGTTAGGACAAGCGATAGGTCACAATCCCGGCATTGGCTTTTTTGCATTCCCAGCCCCAAACCAATTAACGTTTTTCACTCCACTGTTCACAATTAGCGTCTATCTTACAGTGCGATTAATGTGGGCACCAGAAAAGGCGCTTTTCCAGAACTTTCGGCTAAAACCCCACCTGATTATCAATAGGAAAATTCGCCAAATGAAAACGGCAAGGGCCCTCGACCCGGACTCGATAATTCAGCCAAACAGTGCCTAAATGAGGGACAGGGTTACTGTAAAATGATTGAAACATTAAAAGCTGAAATCTAGAACTCACCATTCGGGTAAATGATCAAAAGAACATTTGATGCTGGACTTTTGTGCACTTCGGTCTTTTTACTGTTCACAAAGCAGACATTCGGTGTCCAGAGTTTTTCGCTCACCGATGAGTCCAACGAGAGATTGGATTTGCACGAGAAATTTCTAGAAATGATTCAATTAAATGTACAGTACTGGACAATGAAATATGATATTTGAAAAACGATCGTCTCTTTCGCGCGTCTGTAACTCCCTTGTCTTTGCGTTTAAACTATTAGTGTTATACATTTTCTGAAAGCTCTTTTCAAGGGCTACACAATGATAATATTAATATTTAGAAATACGGTAAAGACAAGGGAGTTACAGACGCGTGAAGGTGACGATCGTTTTTCAAATATTAGGTTGATGCATAAGTCTTTTTGTTCCTTTTCGTCTGCCGTTTCAAGCCAACAAATGCACGAATTAAACTACGGTTGATTTCATTAGAAAAAGCAATTATTTTTCTGCAAAATAACATTAAAACGGGTTTAAAAATATTTAATGCCTGGATTTTCTTGAGAGTATGAAGTCGGGTAGTCAAAAAGGGCTAACTCGATGATGCGGTTTAGACACCTTAGCTAAAGAAAACCTATCTTCGTGTCAATAGATAAAAGATAGAGAAAAAAAAGTTTGGCTACTACGGGCTAGTACGTTGGCTAGTACGGGCTAGTACGTAAGGCTAGTACGTTCCGCGTGTTTTTGCGTGGCGCGAAGAACGCGAAGCACCCGTGAGAGAAGCGAAGAACGCGAAACGTTGAAACAGCTAACGACTAAACAAACCAACCAATCATAGGCAGAGTCTCAGCAGATCGCAGCTATACTGCTCTACTGAGTACAACACCTTGACCAGCGATCAAGTCGTATGCAAGTGATCTTGCGCCCTCGAGAAACCGAAGTGATCCGGCTTTGGCAACTCGCTAGGATTCACCCAACGAGTCGGGTAGTCAAAAAGTCAAAATGAAGTCGGGTAGTCAAAAGGGGCTAACTCGATGATGCGGTTTAGACACCTTAGCTAAAGAAAACCTATCTTCGTGTCAATAGATAAAAGATAGAGAAAAAAAACGTTTGATATTTCACCAAAATTTCAGAGAAATTCATTCAGCCAATTTTTCCGTAGAGTTTTTTATAGATTTTTACGAAAAAGGCGTTTTTCACTCTCGAATTTGCTTGAAAGTGAACCGAAATTCATTTAAAAAGATGCAAATTGAACAAAAAAACACTTTTTTTATAGAGCAAACTATAGATTAATTGGTGAATTTGTTACTTTTTAACAGAAGTACGAAAAAAACGAAAAGACTTATGCATCAACCTATTATCATATTTCATTGTCCACTAGTATAAATGATGAAACTAAATGTAAATGATGAAACTAAATGTAAATGATGAAACTAAATGCAAATTTCTACTTGTACTCCAGTCTCGCATCGGTCCACACTTGTGAAAACCAGACGTCGGCAATGAATGAGGAAGTGATTTCGGAGATCGACGAGATATCCTGAGAATTTGGTTGTTAACGGTTCAAATAAACTTCGTCAATCGATTCGCAGACTCGGAAAACCTTAGGGACAAATTCCTAGCACTAAATCTTATTTGGGAGCCATTCTTAAAGCAAAAGAGTCAAATCATTGTCAAAAGTGGCGATGAGTTGTTCTTTGTGCGGCCGCGTAATCGCTTGTCATCTGGCAAATCATCCGGTATAGGAACCCAAAACTGGTTGATATAATTAATGTTGAAAGGCTCCTATCCCAGGGTGGGTTGCCAGATGACGAGCGATTACGCGATCGCACAAAGAACATCAAGCTTCTCACTTTCAAGGAAGTTTACTTTTGCTTGCTAGATGATATAAAAAAGAAGAGATTGCAGCCTAAATTTGTACCCAGGGGTTTTCGAGGTCGGTGAATCGATTGGCGCTATTCATTTTGTTGGGTCTGTTTTGGCTAGCCTTGTCTAGCCTTGTCTAACCTTTCCTAAAGTTTTCCATTAATTTTTAGACAATTCCAATCCAATTCCAATTCCGGAAAAGAACCAAATCTTCTGATTGCATGCAGATTTAATTCAAATTCACTCTTTGAGGCTTTACTATTAGAAAAAAAGCTGTCAAAATTGTTAAATCTCATCAGAAATCGAGTTTATAAACTAGGTGAAAGTAGAATTTTGATAAATTCCGGAAACCTTTCGACTTTCTCACAACAAGAATTTCAAAAGTTCTCAGCAAATTGCGCAACTGAACCGAGAAGTTTTTTGGAGCTAAAAATTTGTCTCTTTAGCCATTAGACTGGATACTTTCAAGTCACTATTTTAACGCAATTTGTTTTTTTGTTTTTACACGGATTAAAGAACTCATTGGGTTGATTTTAAACCTGGAGTTTTGCTCAGAAATTTTGCGTAGAATGCGATGCACTAGCTCTCGTCATTTCAATCATTTAATTCTAAGCGCTGGTTAATGCTAAAAAAAATCTGGGTTATATGACAAAAAGTCACCAATTTTCTCTAGTCTAATTTGATACCTGAGTGCGCAGAAACAAACGTACTCGTGTCGAGAAATGAGCGTTTATTTGAGTGTAAACTTCGACTACGCAGCGCTCCTGTGGCTGACGGTGACTTTTTGGGTATCAAATTCCTTAGGTATCAAATTAAAGTGGAAAGAATGGGTAATTTTTTAAAGAGATTTAAAGAGCGGCACTTAAAGAGCAACTTTTGCTGCAGAAATTCTTCCAGAAAGTTTCCGCAAACCCTTTCTTGGTTACTCTAATGCTTTCCCTAGGAATCTCATCTAGTTTCTATTCTGGTTTTCACCTCAACTTTTGTTCATTTTACATAAAATTTCCCATTTTCACCTGCACCGTCAACTCGACACTCACAACGACACTCTCATTCGAGGGAACCACCGTCTTATCATAGTCATTCATGATCTCTTGTAAGAGGGATTTGCGCTGATTCGAATTGTACTCGCACACCTCAGCGATTGGCTCACCGACTGGTTGTATCTAAAGATAGATTTTTTATGTAAATAAGTCTCTAACGTTTGCTTGTTCTTGATACTTGAAGCCAAATGTTGATCCATCAAGTATTTAAACCAGCCAAAAGTCAGACTTTACCTTTGGCCTATCTTACAGGTTTGATCTATTTTGATCTATCATCTATTTAGCAAGTCTGACTGATTGAATCAGATTTATAAGGAGGACTTGAGTCAGTCAGAAGTCAGACTTTACTTTTGTTCTGATCTATTTTGCAGGTCTGACTGATCGAATCACATTCACAAGCCAGCCAGAGATCAGGCTGGGGTCTAGCTTCTGATCTAACTGATAAAAGCTTCTGGTATTGGTCAATCCTATTCAGTTAAGGTCAATGAAAGAAACCTGAGCTTATTCTAGGTCTAATCCAAGTCCATTTTTGCTTGTATAAATTGCCGATTTACCTCAACAATGTGTTGATCTCCAAGCACCGACGGGCAACTCAACACAAGCATCAGCAACAAATCGTGCACCATTTTTGTAAGTAATATAATAGAATTTATATTCTTGCTCTCTTCATTTGTTCGTTTTTGTCTTCTAAAAATCATTTAAAGTTGAAATTTTAAGAATTTTCACAAAAAAACGGGAAAGCTTGCTTGTTACAAGTACACTTGACTAATGAAATATAAAGAAAGGAATGGTAAAGCAAAAAGGATCCAATGGGAATTGAGTCCTAGAATCAATGAAACAGGCCTAGGACAAGTCTGACGGTTGTCTGACGTCTAGGCCTAGTCAAGCCAACACTGACTTCTGAAATCGATTAGTTAACCCTTGTTTAAATGAAAAGACGAATTGCTCGTTTTAAAATTTGTCGATCTGGAAGGCACAGGGAGCATTAGTTTCAGAAAAGTCGGGATTCGACTGATTTGACTGATTTTGATTACAGTACGTGTTCCCGCCGCTTTCTACCTTATGGCTGGTCAAGAAGTTTTGAAATCCCCCGAATTCACCAATCTGGAGCGCACAGCAGCTCTAGATAGCAAAATAAAGTTAATAGAATAGGATCTAACTGATTTGACTACAGTACCTAACTTGTCCCCACCGCTTCCTACCTTATGGCTGATTAAGAAGTTTTGAAATCCCCCGAATTCAACAATCTGGAGCGCACAGCAGCTCTAGATAGCAAAATAAAGTTAATAGAATAAGATCTAAACTATTGACTGATTTGGCCTTAGGAAATAAAGATTTAGAAAGTGCTGACCCAACTAAAAGCCAAACCGAATATCGTTTGGCTTGGCTTTGACCGTCAGAACAAATCCTCCAGAACAAGGACCTTCAGAAAATTCTAGAATAAAAGCTAAACCTTACTCAACTGGCTAGATCACAAGTCAGTCAAGCTTCAAGTTAAGCATTAATTGGTTGACAGAAAACTTTTTCAAGTCATAAAACCTAAGTCAAAGAGTCAATTGAATCCTTGAATAATCAAGAAATAAAGGAAGAAAAAGAAAAAGAAAAGGAAAAGAAAAGAAAAGAAAAGAAAAGAAAAGAAAAGAAAAGAAAAAGAAAAGAAAAAGTAGAAAAGAAATAACTTTATTTTCACAAAGATCAACCCAAAAAAAAACACTGTTTAATTCATTTAGATTTGAGATGTTTTTGAGTAAAGAACAGTCAATCAAACCGGAAATTTAAATCAGCTAACGAATTGAGTGGTTTTTGAGAGAAAATGGGGGAAATTTCGAGGTTAAGTGACGAAAGGTGATTGAATTTTGAAAACTGGTTGCCAAATTCTTGGCTGAATTTCGTTTGTTTCGAATGAAATTTCTTGATTTTCTTGATTTTCTTGATTTTCTTGAATTTCAAGATTTAAAGTCAATTTCCCGTTTTACAATTTGCCACTTGCCGTCTTTTCACTTCGAAAAAGGATTCGATTTGAAGAAAAAGCCCAAAAAAAAGCCCAAGAAAGGAAAAAGGAGAAAATTGCCGGATTTGATCTGTGATCAGTACAAATTTTAGGGTAAAAAGCTTGAAAAAAAACATTCAAAACATTTGTTAAAAGGTAAAGTTAGTTTTTTTAGAATAAGAGTTACTTCTACATTCACTTCTAGTAATGGTAAAACGATAAGCTTGATTACTCAATCCAATCGAGCTCTAGGGCCCTTTATCTAGGCTACACAAGGCAAAACAAAAACCAAAGCCGGCTTCTGGCATTTCGAAACTTTAGTCTTTAGTAGCTGGTCTTTAGTAAAGCTGTCAGTGTCTGGTTTCTGGGCTAAAAGATCGGTCAACTATTAGGTTGATGCAAAAGTCTTTTTCATTTTTTTCGTACTTCTTTTGAAAAATAACAAAGTCATCAATTAACCTATGGTTTGCTCTAAATGAAAAGTGTTTATTGTTCAATTTCCCATCTTTTTAAGTCAATTTGGGTTCACTTTCAAGCAAATTCGAGAGTGAAAACGGGTTTTTCATAAAAATCTATAAAAACCTCTATAAAGAAATTGGCTGAATCAATTTCTCTGAAAATCTGAAGAAAGATCTAACTTTTTGTGCTCTATCTTTTATTTATTAACATCAAGATTGGTTTCCTTAGCTAAAGCGTCTAAAATGCATCATCGAGCCGTCGCCTTTTTTGACTACCCGACTTCAGGCTCACAAAAAAATCTAGACATAAGACATTTTAAACTCGTTTTAATGTCATTTTGCAGAAAAATAATTGGCCTTTCGAATGCAATAAACCGTTGTTCAATTGGTGCATTTGTTACTTTTTAACGGAAGTACGAAAAAAATGAAAAAGACTTTTGCATCAACCTAATAGTTAAATTCATGCTCAGTTACCTTTCAATTTCTCTAAAAAACTACTAAGGTGTACGTGTCATTTTTTCGAGAAATTACGCTTCACTCTTTTTTGGTTTACTTCCTGCTTTTGGTTTTTTTTAGGCTTTAGATAGATTTACGCGTTTATCGAATAGCTTTTAACAGCTTGTGGACGATTTTACTCAAAATGAAAAAAGTGAACAATGAGATTCAATCCAATCGAGCTCTAGGGCCCTTTATCTAGGCTACACAAGGCAAAACAAAAACCAAAGCCGGCTTCTGGCAGTTCGAAACTTTGCTGGTCTTTAGTAAAGCTGTCAGTGTCTGGTTTCTGGGCTGAAAGATCGGTCAACTAGTTAAATTCTTTCGAATGTTCGAATCCCTGGCTTCGAATGTTCGAATCCCTGGAATTCCCCTTTAAAGAATCTTTTCGTTCATTTTCTTCTTTCGTTGAATCATAAATCAAAATCATAAATTCATACCCAGGTTTGCTTTAAATAAAAAGTGTTTATTGTTAAATTTCCCATCTTTTTAAGTCAATTTGTTGGTTTTTTTAATGAAGAAAACCTTTTTCATTTTAATGGAAAAAACCGTATTTCAATTCGTGAATTTGTTGGTTTTAAACAGAAGTACTAGGTTGAGAAAAAAAATCCTGACTCAGCTGCGAAAAATTCAAATTTCTATGCGCACTTTAATAACAAAAATAACAGCAACTATTCCAGAAAGTATAACCCATGATTATCTACGACTTTCTGCCATCGATCTGCAAGCTTTTAAATCTGGTTGAAGCTTTTAGTTCTGGTCGAAGCTTTCGGATCTGGTTGAAGCTTTTGGATCTGGTTGAAGCTTTCGGAGCTTATCGAAGCTTTCGGATCTTATCGAAGCTTTCGGCTCTGTTCGAAGCTTTCGGATCTGGTCGAAGCTTTTGGATCTTATCGAAGCTTTTGGATCTGGTCGAAGCTTTTGGATCTGGCTGAAGGTTTTGGATCTGGTTGAAGCTTTCGGATCTTATCAAAGCTTTCGGATCTTATCGAAGCTTTCGGTTCGAAGTCGAACTCCTTCCGTTTCTCTTGACTCTTGACAAGCTTCTTCAATTTCTTCAAATGATTTCAAAAGTCACCATCATCCAACTTTTGGTGGTTGACCGAAACGCGGTAAGTCTTCAAGCCTCGTGTCGAAGCACCTGTACCATCTTCAAGCTTCTTGATTGGCTTACAGTTCCTTCACCTTCAGCATCGCAAATCTCTTTCACGGCATCTCTTATTGAAAGTTTCCGTTTCCAACAATAGCCGATGAAAGCTCGAAGCTCTTTTTCTTGTAAACTCATCTGGAAAACAAAGATCAACATTGGTACAACACTCAAAGCGCAAAAAGCCAACAAAAAAAATATTTCGTAGCTGTGTAAAAGTTCATTGAAATAACTTTTTTTTTCTAGTAGAAGAATTTCGCTGAAAGAATATTTTTGATGCTAGCTGGATGGCAACTTAAAAAAGTTATCGTTTTAATTGTTGAGTTCTACGATTTGAATTTTTTCAACCTTTTGTTTTACTCGTTTTGAGGGAAAGATCTGGAGCAATGATAGAAGAAAGATCTGGAGCAATGATAGAAGAAAGATCTGGAGCAATGATAGAAGAAAGATCTGGAGCAATGATAGAAGAAAGATCTGGAGCAATGATAGAAGAAAGATCTAATTAAGAAGTTGCACATTTCCTCTAGAAAATTTATAAATTAGACAAAATGCAATAAGAGATTTTGCTGTGTAAAGGTTCATTGAAATCATTGAAAGAAAAGAATCTGGTCTCAAGAAAAAGGCCAAAAGATCTAAATCTTAGCTTTTCGCTAAGAAAAAGCATCATCTGTTTTTGTCGATGAAAACTCAATTTTGAATCGATTTTGCCAGTGAAAAAAACAACTTTAATTTGCCAGTTTTTGTTTCAAAATCAGTCTAAAACCCAAAAATGAAGTCCAGAGATTTAAAATTCAAATGAAAATGTAGCTAAATGAGGGAAAAATGAGGAAGTTGAATCTATGGAGGAGAGATTTTTCCCTCGTTTCCTTTTTTCAAAAAGAGTTAAATCGGGAACACACAAATTCCTTCAAATTCCTCTTTTTTTCAGAAAAATTGAGTGGTTGAAGAGGGAAAGATTCTGAAGGAATTACAGACGAAAAAGAAAATAAAAACAAGAAGAAGAAGAAGAAGAAGAAGATGATGATGATGATGATGATGAAGATGAAGAAGAAGTAGAAGTAGAAGAAGAAGAAGATGAAGATGATGATGAAGAAGAAGAAGAAGAAGAAGAAGATGATGATGATGATGATGAAGATGAAGAAGAAGTAGAAGTAGAAGAAGAAGAAGATGAAGATGATGATGATGAAGAAGAAGTAGAAGTAGAAGAAGAAGAAGATGAAGATGATGAAGAAGAAGAAGAAGAAGAAGAAGAAGATGATGATGATGATGATGAAGATGAAGAAGAAGTAGAAGTAGAAGAAGAAGAAGATGAAGATGATGAAGAAGAAGATGATGATGATTAAGAAGGAGATGATGAAGATGATGATTAAGAAGAAGAAGATGACGAAGAAGAAGCAAAATTGCGATTTGATTCACTTCAAAGCACCAGTAATCGAGTACTTTGGGGATGTGCTTTGTGCTCGAAAATTCCGTAAACGCACCCCTTCTAGCGCACCAAATCCTTCAGTTATCTCT